AGGAACATGGTGTGAAGCTTCAACATTTTTGTTAATAGGGTCAAAAAAGTATTTCAAAATGATATTTTAAAATAAACTACTTTTAAATCTAATTTAGTGAGAAACCACAACAGGACATGGACAAAAGGTTCAACACATTCTTTCAGTTATATTACTAACTTCTTTTTGCTTACAACACCCAGGCAAAAAGAATGTTTAAAAATTACATGGGTACACAGGGCGTTTTATCCCTGAATTAAAAAATAACCAATTACAATTAAAAAAAAATATTTCGCCAGGCAACCCAATTTCATTTTTTTGTTCAAAATATAGTTGAGAGTAAATTAACAATTTGTTCCCTTGATACATTTAAAGGAAAAACTAAGCTTTTGCCCAATTTATTCAAATATTGATTGATTTTTCAAGTTAATTTCTGCAATTATGTGAGTGTTAAGAAATTATTCTTTACAGTGCACACAAAAAAACAGAAGAGAAAATGCCTTAACCCATTTTAAGGGGGCAGCTTCGATTGGTTTGGAGATTCTAGGAAAAAATTGAATTTAAAACTAAAAGATATCCACCCTAGTGTGACTTATTAAAACCCATCAAAAATTTTCCCTAATTTTATACATCTTTTTTAATGACCTTTTGCTAATAAATAATCTTCATGTGAATCAGACAAGTCACACACAGTTTAGATGGGCCGGATAACAGTCTCATGACAGAATGCCCCACATTTTGTTACAGGTTTTTTCATCCCTTCAAAATTTGCAGGCAAATTTCGATTGGGAAGACGACTCGCTTTTCGATGTACTTGCAAAAGTCCAGCGTGTTCGAAGAATTTGGCACTTGCATGTAAAATTTTAAACACTTCCATTTTATAGATTGTTCAGGGGATACAAACTAAAACGTTTTCTTTTGTTAGATAATAGGTTTGAAATTTTTGATTACCCTTTTTTATCTAACACTTATTGACGGAAAATTACTTTCCACAGTCTGGCCACTGCTTCCATTTGAAAAACCAGGAGTGTTGTATGCACCTCCGGTAGGGTGAAAAATTACGACTTGGTTACCACTTGACGACCCAAAAACACTTTCTTTGGGAGGGCCTGATTTTAGACCCGGGTTTACTCCTGGAATGAGGAGCAGTTGCCCGCTTTCGCCTAAAAAATTTCACTTGATCTGAAGGTATTTGCAGTATAATATCACTAGGCACTTGAAGTTTTTTGCCAAAGCATTGTTTTTAGACTTGTCCATTTCCTCTATGAACCCCACTTTTTCCTACACTAGCAGATCTAAACAAGAGGTGGTTACAGGCGTTTGACCCGATGTCACAACTTTTTTGCTGTGGAGGAGCACTTGCTGCTCGTTGCTGGGAAAGGTACATTGGTCGTGAGACCCAGCAGCTGAACGTATTAAACTGCTGAAGCAGATATATTGAATACCTTGGCCTCTCAGACACTTGCTAGCTGCTGTGTCTGAATACTCTCCTGCATTACGCTCTCGTGTTGTGACGTAATGGGAACACTTAAACACAGCTGGGGATATCCCAGTTGCTTGAGTTTACTGTAGGGGTGGTAACAACAACAAAAGAGACATTTTGAAGTGTTTTCAACGTTTGCGGTTGGCACATTTGAAATGATAGGCAACATTTTGAACTGAGGTAGGAGGTTTATGGTTATCACTGGGAAGAAAACCTCCCACAATTTTCCGGTTGCGTTACCATCTTTTAGTTCTGCTTCCTTGAACAAATGACGATTAGTAACAGTCTTGGGTAAATTTCTGTATTTTTTGTTTCGGACTTAAAAGTTTTATCTTGCAAAAAAATCTGTGACACAGTTTTATGTGCCTGTGCAATATCAGCATTTTAAATATGAACCAAAAGAGATTATCACTTGCGCTTGACTTGACAAACTGTAACTTGTTAACAACATGTGAACTTGGGGTTTCTGTAGCATTTGACACATTGGCATTGAATATTTTCTGGACTCATTATCTTTTGCTTGTTCACACTCTACGCATCGAGAATTACCCCTCATTCAAATTTTCAAGCGATTCTTTTCAAATTCACAACCCATCGGCAGTCTTTTCTATGTCTATTACTTTGGTCTGCTTAGGCCGGCCTTTGAGTGGGGACAAACAATACTTTGAAAGCGGTTCTAACAATAGGTCTGTGCATTTGGAGAATGACCTTCCTCTGGCCTTGCCAACAAATGGCTGCATGAAGTTGGTTGGGCCTCACTTGCTGTTGATGGACATGGACATGAGCTATCTCGGTGTCTTGCTTTATTTGAGCCAAGTGTTCTGGTCTGACCTTGAACTTTTGCTTTGCTGCCTGTGGTCTTGCAGATTTTATTTGAGCAAGAGTTCGAGTTGTCTGACCTCAGGGAACCGGACCCTGTAACGGGGTGTCGATACATTCACAACAATAGGGCTTAGTATAGAGGATTCTGTTCTTGGGGAAATTGTCTGGTGAACAACTGATGATATAGATTACAGTACTTTCCGATCATTTTACCCTCCGATTTCTGCATGCGTGCGACTTGTTGTTTGGATGCTCGGATTTGAGCTAATGTCTTTGCCTGAGGCTGCCTTGAATCTGTTTCTGAGTTTTATGAACAACTTGTTTGCCGCTTTGGTGTCCTAATCCGAGGCAATACTATCTTCATATCAATTGACTTAAACAGGTCTCTTTAATAGCACTAGCCGTGGCACAAATCCTTGCGCTCACTAACAGGTGTCCTGAGATCGTAAGTCTTTGTCATAACTTTCATTAATAATTCCCATTTTCTTGAAGCGTGAAACAAGGGGACTAGTGCTATTAGCCCTGGTACAGTTGATGTATAGATCTTTTGCTTAGGCATGGTTTTGATACAAGAGTTAAGACTTCTTCACTGACGATTAACCCTCACAGGATGTGATGTCACAGTTGGTGAATCTCCACTAGAATTGATTGATGATATCATCAGCTTTTTTGGAACATCCGAGATACATTCTGAAATAAAAATAACAATTTTAAGTATGGTTATTTCCATTTCTGTTAACATCTTTTAGTACATGAAAGATTTTTTTTCTAAACATGTTTGACCTTTTCTAACATGAATACAAATTATCTTGCACCTTATAACCCTAATAATTGCTTCACACCCCTCCCACATGCTCCGGTTGATGCTCCGCCCGAATGAGATTTTGGGACACAGGGAAGGTATACCTCTTAGTGTCAGAGTTATGCACAGACAAAGTTCAAAGTGAAAATAAACAACAAATTTTGGTGTGTACACGATGTCTCATATTGTGATCATTTCTGGAGAAATAGTTGTAAAAATCCAACTTCAAATCAACAAAGTTATTGGCTTGGATATGATTTTTGCTGCAGGGTTCATGCTGGTCCTTGACCTTCAAGGTAGCGGACCCAAAATGTTGCGTTGTACACATCGTCTCAATATGGTTGATTTCATTTCTGTGAAAAAGTGTTAAATCTGACTTCAAATACGAAGTTATGGCCGGACACAATTTTGACTGGCAAGGTCATGCTGTACCTTTAACCTTCAAGGTTAGCCACCAAAATGTTGAGCGAGACACGTTGTCATCAATATGTGATCATTTCTGTGAAAATAGTTGTAAAATTTTGACTTCAAATAACAAAGTAAAGGACTGTACACGATTTTGTGCATGGTCATGCTGATGATGCTGTGGACCCTTGGACTTCAAGGTTAGCGACCCAAATGTTGCCGGCGACACGTCATCATCAATATTTGTGATTCTTTCTGTTGAAATAGTTGTAAAATCAGACTTTCAATAACAAAAGTTTACGGGGCATCTGGACACGATTTTCCTGTAAGGTCCTGCTGTGACCTTGACCTTCCAAGGTTAGGCAAAAACCAAATGTTGCCGTGACCATTGCTCAATTATGGTTATCATCTCTGTGAATATTTTTAAAATTCGACCTCAAATAACAAAGTTATGGGGCCCGAACGAATTCAGGACGTACCGTTAGGACGGGCAATTCAGACGGGACTATTATGCTCCCCCGAAGTTTTTCAGGGGAGCATAAAAAAAACATCATTGTGGCATTTGTAGAACTAACCTGCTGATTTGTGTAATGGACAATCCAACTTATATTTCGAAACAGGCCGGGTATTTAAAATTATTCCCAAATTCGAGATTTGTAAAGCAAAGTGTTTATCACTTTACTCTTAAACAAAAGAAATAACAGGTAAAAGAAAATATAAATGTACTCACTTTGACCCCAACAGGCTCAAAATGCTTTGCCTGGCCAAGAGGAAAAACAAATTTATAGAAATAACAAGTAAGCAACATTTCAATCAAGAACATACAAAATAAAGTGACCAGTTATAACAAAACTTTTTTTATTTTATCAGATTATCTGAAAATTCAAGGCAAAACTTTGTATAAGAAAGAAAAACAGTGATTTAATTATCTTGCTACCACAATAATTCGGTAAATGCTGTCAAAGCCCTTATAACTGACATGTGTTGAAGAGGGTTAAGTAAGGTAATGAAACTCAGTTCATATTTTCTATTTTGGTAAAAAAAGTCCCTCTAATATTAAACCGCTGTTTATGACATCAGTTTTAAAGCTGGCGATATTAATTTTTCTTTAGTACCTTAAATTAAAAGTTTAAGCATTATTATGCATGGACATTTATGACCAATTTGCGAAAGCACAGGTTACCACTGATCTTAGATTTCAATGGCAGGAACACAATATTAATTCATATGACCCAACTTTCCAGCTTTACTGGTGGAGGAAAGACTTGGGTGCTCTTCTTCCAGTTTTCTGTATTTGTCTAGCTGGATAGCTTCCTTACATGAAAGAATCCAAAAGTTACGTCAAGATCAAACCCACAGTGTGAGGGTAAGTGGTTGAAGGTCAATACCTCACTCAACCATTTGAGGCCTGCTTCACCATATCGAGGGAATGATCTGAAATTTCCAGTCATGTTACGTAAAAAACCCTCAGTGGAGCTGCCTATAAGTTAAATATTCGTACCTTCCATGGGGTCCAGCTTCACTTGCTCCTTTCTCCTCCTCTTGTTTCAATCGTTGCTGACTTTCTGGTGTAAACTCACCTTACATTATACAAACAAATATAGATCATATCATGTTATATAATTCAAATTACTCACTGTAATATTCAGCCAAATTAATATTCAGATTGAATTAAAGCAAGCACGCCATTCAAGAGTAAGGTGACCAAACCTTTTTTAAAACTGTTCATGTTTGGAATTCTACTGTTTTATTTTTCCTTTGTTTTTCTTGAAATCCTTGTTCAAGTCATGATCAGGGGATCAAAACTTTAAATTCCGGTAAAAAGATTCATTTTTCACAATTCTCCTCAGAGTAAAGCTTAATTTAAAGTTTATATTTTTTCAATTTTAAGCTTTACATAAATAAATATGGTAAAAATATTTTTTGCCGTCGCCTAAAAAAATAAAAAATTCTACAGTTTATTAACCTGTTTTAACATATTGTTTGTAAATCTCATCAAATATTGTTCATAAATTAGATTTTAAATGGAAAACCCCACGGTAACACTAAAAGTTCGTATACGATTTTAACATTGCAAATGACGGACTATTAATCAGCTCGTGTATGCGCTACGTCACAGTTTTATAGGTTTGCTATACCCGCACCCACAGCACACAGTGCACTAAGCCTGTTTCAGTGGAAAGTAATCATTCTCGTAAAAGATTAAATTTGTATTGAAAACATCCGCCCATTACAATGCGGATAAAACCATTAAATTAGGACTGCTACTTATAGTCATGTTTGTTGATTTAATATTGATTGTACGGATTTGATCCGGAAAGGCGGAGTTTCTCATTGCAAAGAGAAATTGTACTTCCCATTTCGCCACAATTGAGGTTACCCATTTGTATGCGAATTGTCTGGACACCAAAATAAAGACCTGGAGTCGATATAAAAACCTATTTATGGAAATTGCGCTATTTAGTTTTTTTATGAAAATTTAGTAAATGTAGCTTTTAAGTGTTAAAATGGTTGAAAAAATGGCACCAACCTTCTGACAGCCTTTCTCTCCATTCTGTACAAGCTTTAGCAAAAAACTCATTATTAAGAGCAGTACTGCTCAACCTGAAATAGAAATTTTTTAAGCAACTTTTAAATACTATAAACAGCACCAGTGTCCTATATGCCTATTAGTATCTATAGCTTTTGTTAAAAACTGATTTTTAAAAAATTCTTTTCCCCAGAGTTGAATGTGTCATACAGTCATATTGAGCGAGTCACAGTGTTTTTGTTTTTCATATTGGTAGGGCTGGGGCGAGTATCCGAGTACTCTGATAATCACGAATCAAAATGAAAAATTGAGTACAAATATTCGTCAGTCCAGAGATCGTGGATCGTGATCTTTTTTGTTCATATACATTCAGTGTGTCTCAAACTCTTAAAGTAAACAAGGGTGCCATAGTCACAAAATACGCCCGTTTACGAAAAAGCTTTAGATGGAGATGGGGGCATTATGGATAAGTGTTATCTAGCAAGCAAGTTTTTATTCTTGGCACTGTGTTGTTAAATGAACCTTAAAACAAATCAATAGGGAAGATATGCACAGAATGTGTGACCTTGACCTTGGTCGCAGGGACCTGAATTTTTATGCACGGCACTCAGCCTTCAGCAATGATGGAACATTTTGTGCCCAAATTATATTGAAATCCCTCTATGCATGTTTAGAAGTTTTTGCTCCAGACAAGTGTTTTTCTATTTGAGCTCTAACTGTACCTTCACCTTTGACCTAGAGACTTGTTATGGGCAGGGCACTACAGTTCATGGTGGTGAACAAATTCTATAAATTAACACTCAAAAATTCCTCCATGCATGTAGGAAAATATGGCTCCGGACAACATTCTGGATATTTAATCATCTCCAGTTGACCTTGACCTTGCAAATATTAACTAAAATTAAATGTTTTTATGTTAAACACCTGTAGTCATTGAATAGTTTACCATTTGTGCTACAACTCCATTCAACAAGAGCGATCAGTAATCACATGTGTCGCCTCATGATGGCCATATTTCATGTAATGGGGACAAATTTGTGACAGACGGACAGGACAGACGGGGACAGTGCACAACTAGACTTGGTACTGATCATTCCTGTAAAGTTTGGATAAAATTGCACCAGTAGTTTATGAGGAGTAGTCCGGACAAGCTTTTGCCGTATTCTGGCAACACACAGAAAAGAAACGTTTTTATCAAAAGGGCCATAACTCGGCCAAAAATCATTCAACCGGAAAACCCGTGCAATATGCGCAAGGACTTTTGAGCTACAGATCAATCCTGTAAAGTTTCATTGAAATTGCATTAGTGGTATAAGAGAAATTAGTCCGGACAAACTTTTAAAATTAAAAAAATTAATAAAGGGCCATAACTCAAACAAAAAATCATTGAACCGGAAAATGCTTTACAATATGCACAAGTAGACTTGGTACTGATCATTCATGTAAAGTTTGGATGAAATTGCACCAGTAGTTTATGAGGTTAGTACCGGACAAGGCTTTTGTGTATCTGGCAACACCACAGAAAAAAGAAACGTTTTTTATCAAAGGGCCATAACCCGGCCAAAAATCATTCAACCAGAAAACTCGTGCAATATGCGCAAGGACTTGAGCTACAGATTCAATCCTGTGAAGTTTCATTGAAATTGCATTAGTGGTATATAAGAGAAGTAGTCCGGACAAACTTTAAAATTAAAAATTATTAAAGGGCCATAACTCTGACAAAAATCATTGAACCGGAAAATGCTTGACAATATTGCACAACTAGACTTGGTACTGATCATTCCTGTAAAGTTTGGATGAAATTCACCAGTAGTTTATGAGGAGTAGTCGGACAAGTTTTGTGACGGACGGACGGACAGACAGACAGACAGACAGACAGACGGACGGACAGACAGACAGACGGACAGACAGACGACGGAGAAGTGATCCCTATATGTCGCCACTACTCCGTAGAGGCGACACAATAAATGATGACTAAATGGTCCCTATAACCATCTTCAAATTTTTATCTGAACTTTGACCTCTATGTGTAACCTTGACTTTGGTCGCAGGGATCTGAATTTTGCATTGCGACACTCAGCTCTCAGCAAGGTGAACATTTGTGCCAAGTTATATTGAAAAACCCCCTATGAATGTAGAAGTTTTGCTCCGGACAAGCGTTTTTTTCAATGAGCTCTAAGTGTGACCTTGACCTTTGACCTGGAGACCTTCATCATGCATTGGAGCAATACATATCATGGTGGTGAACATTTTCATAAAGTATTATAAAAATTCTTCCATACATGTAGGAGATATGCTTCCAGACAAATCTGGATATTTCAACCATCTTTAGTGACCTTGACCTTGCATAATATTGACCTAAAGTACATGTGTCACAGCCGTAGTCATTATAATGACCATTTTGTGTTACAATCCCTCAATAAATGATGATTTAAATCGTCCCTATACACATCTTTCATATTTTTATCTTTTTTTTAAACGGGCGTATAAAAAAAAGTACATGTAATTTAATAACAAAAAATTCTGATTTTAAGATTTTATTCTAGGGAAATACATTTCATTAACAATTCTTAATCTTTGAATGAGCTGAACTGATATTTACTTGAAAATTAAAATATAATTAAATTTCTATGAGAAAGTATTTACATTTGATAAGGTAATTACTGTATGATCTTTATGAACAAATACCAAGTCTACAGAACACCATAGTTATCACAGTTAAGAATCTTGACCAATGAATGAAACATGTGTAAATAAATGTTACATTCTTTAGAACATACTCAAGTCCAAGAAAGAGGATTATTTCATGCCCTTTGATTAAATTCTATTTTTAGAATTGAAAGTGAAAATAGATCAAGGGGAGTAATTGTGTAAGTCATTTATGAACAAAGTAATAACTTTGTTGTCTCCCTTTGATTAAATTCTATTGGCTGTGACTAAAAAAAGAATTGGAGCACCACACTAAATACCGTATTCCGGTATATACCGGACAAGGCGCTTGAATGATAAAATGCTAAAATCTTGTCTTTTTACCCAACGGAATGAACTTTAACAGGTCTAATTCATCTTTTCACACCGAATCAAGTACGATAATCAAGGAAAAATGTAAAAATCGGCGAAAAAAACGATATTTGTCTATTTTGTGATCATGATTTCTGCAAGTGTCTAGAGGTACTGCTCCAATCCTGTATTGAGCTAAATCCAATTCTATTTACAAAATCTGGATATTTCATCATCTTTAGTGACCTTGACCTTGTATATATTGACCTAAATTATATGTATCACAGCCATAGTCTTGGATAATGACCATTTTTGTGTTACAATCCCTCAATAAATGATGACTAAATGGTCCATATAACAATCTTCATATTTTTATCTGAACTTTGACCTCTATGTGTTAACCTTGACCTTGGGCCGCAAGGACCTGAATCTTGCACGCGACACTCCGCCTCACAATGGTGAAAAAAAGCATTTGTGCCAAGTAATATTGAAATCCCTCTATACATGTGGAAGTTTTTTGCTTCCGGACAAGCATTTTTCAATGAGCTCTAAGTGTGACCTTGACCTTTGACCTAGAGACCTGGTTCATGTGCGCGACACTGCTCCTCATAGTGCGTGAACATTTATATGAAGATCCCTCCATACATGTAGGAGATATGCTCCGGACAAAATTGGACGCCGCCCGCCGCCCGCCCGCCCGCCAGGGCGTTCCCATAATACGTCCCGTTTTTCAAACGGGCGTATAAAAAAATTACAATTTGAGTATGAATCATGCGAAGTTTACCTAAATACAATTTACCTATTAAAGACAGGAAGTAAACAAACAAGTACCATGATGCTGAGCTAGGAAGTCATTAGTTTCGAAAAATGAATCACTTTATCTTTATTTAGCACTTTGTTTTTCATGAAAATAAATAAATATTTTTATTCGCTATATAACGTGACATTTGAATAATCCAAAATTTGCGAAACTCAAGTTACTAATTACGTCAGTGTGATGTTAACAACCTTATATATTTGCATATGTTTAATGTTTAGTATTGTTTAAAGAAAAATAAACATGTTTTCAGAACTTATGATCATGTTTTTATAGTTGTCTTGATAACAAAAGATTCATGGTTCGAATTGTAATTCGTCAGTGTTGAATTGTAGATCGGATTGGATCGTCACTTATCCAACTTCAGCCTGACTGATAAAGTTAATATCAAATGACAGTAGCATTTTATTCTCTATATTTGACAGCTTTCAAGCCTGAGCGGGCAGAGTAGAATTATCAATGTTCCATAAACTAGCTTGATAGCTTCCTCACAATCAACAATTGTGATATTTAAAGCTGCAGCAGTAAGGGGCATATGGTTTTAAGTCAAGGATCATAACCACTAAGGCACATTGCCACAGACACCATCCCTTTCTAGCCGATTTGTTAATCGGGAAAGACCTTTTTCATTTTTAATCAAAGTGTTGGGTTTTTTTTGTAAAGATCATTGAAGAATCATAACTATTTATTGTTCATTATAATATGTATACATGCATCTGTTTAGATGCGTGCTTCATACATATTGTGTGTCTCCTGGTTGAAGTTTTTTTTCTAAATCAATGAATAAATCATGGGTTATAGCCATAGTAGTGTCATGACCGTGTTTCCTCAACTGACACAATTATCTTAGCAATCATTATTTGTTGTATGTGATAAAACCAACAAGAACTGTATTAGGAACGAAATCTTCCCCCATTTTTGGAAAAAGAGTAAAATTGGGCCCCCCCCCTTTTTTGGGAGTAATGGCCTGGAACGTGACCTGCTCTGAAATATTTATGTGAAGTTTCAACCCATTGTCTTTAGTAAGTTTTTGGAGACATTAACTTAAAAGCAAAAACTAAATCAATGTGTGATGTCGAAGCCTGGGTGAGTACAATAGCTCTCCCTATTCTTCAAATAGTCAACCTTAAAATGACTACTTTAAATTCAAAACAAACCATCTCAGAAAAATTGTTATAACTCTGTAGACATATATGTTTGAACTTAACCTTACTTTCAGAGTTAAATGAGACTTGAAGTTTTATTAGTCTAAAACTATTTCATAATGTAACTACATTAATCTCCTGAACATGATATTCAGCCATTCAAATACTATTCCTGATCATCCCACTCATGCCTAGCCAAGTGATATAGACAAATGAGTTGGCTAAACTGATTACTTGTATTATATAAACACAAGAAATCACCTGAGGGCACTGTCCTTGTCCAACAATTCTATCACACTCTGGCAACAATGTAATCAACTTGTATTGATAATTTGCCGGCAGAGAGTTAAAGGTGTGTTTTGTCAATAAACCCTGAATTAATGAAAAAAAATTTTCTATATCAGTGACAAGCATTCATTTCCTGAATCCTTTCAGGGGACTACATTGATTAAATATAAAATTTAGAAATATTTTATGTCCCTAAAACACAAGTATTATCCAGTTTAACATGAATTATAAATAATTTAAAAAAAAAATCAAACTCTTAGTTTAACTTCAACAACAAAGACATAATAAGATACAAAGACATGCAGCTTATTAGAGCTTCAAGCTGAGTCTTAATAATACACACTAACACATTGTTCAATTTATTGGGAATACTATACTGCACCCAACACTATTTAATTATTAACATATGATTATTAAAAACCTAAACCAAATTATTACATATACATGCTTATAAAATGAGTTAATTGAATCTTAGAATACAGGTTTACTTCTTTTAAGGAATCAACCAATGTTTTGGTTGGAATCGGGTAAAAAAGTTTTGAAAGTGTATTTACTTGAAAATATCTTGTACAGATCAATGCTATAAAATCTTATACAGATCTGTGCAAGATCATGGTATTCAAGAGAAAAATGTTTGAGAGTAAATATATTCATTGAAAATTATGCAACATGTATATATCTAAATAAAACGAGCCATCATATCTCACCCGAAGGTTTGTGTTAACCAGTATTGAGTCTGGTGTTTCTAGGTCTATACATCCCTCCATAGTTTGGGCAATCTGTGCTGCATGACTTAACTTCTTGTTAGTGCGCTTCCTTGGCTGAAATATAAAAACTTAAAATTTTAGAATAGTCCTGTTAAAGATGACCCAACACGATCAAAATAAACCCTTTGAAGCTTCACTAAAAAAAGCTGCAATCTTTGACACCAATATCAAGCCGCCTCTGTGCTGTCTGGCCAGGCTCTATGAAGGTGATAGCACACTCTGATTTTTATATTGAAACCCTTTTAACTATGAATGAACTGTTCAAAATTCAAACCTGGGCAAAACCATGATTACACAAATTTGGCGCTGCAGGGAAAGGATTCAGAAAGTTACCATGAGCAAGTACAAAAACACATTTTCTTTAAAACATACTTAACCCCTGCTACTTCTGTATTTGTATAATGGACTAGTCCTGCCTTGAATTTGGAATCTGTCCATTTATTTAAACAGTATAGTTAAGCCAGACTGGTTCGAAAGGCCAGTAATTATTAGTTTATATAAAATTAATTTTTAGTCTCGTTACATAGGAAGCTATATACTTACAGATACAGTCTCTAATCAGTTCTTAGAACCAACCAGTACTGAGCAATTTGTGTAAAGTTCCATCTCCTAAGCTGTTAACATAAATTCCTAAAGGTTGATATTTGAACCTTTGCTAACTTAAGTTTAAAGCAAAGTGTAGCAATTCACATTATTTAGTTCATACATGTAGACATGATGGTCAATGTGTTATCCTTCCTTACCTTCATACTAAAACCAGGGATGCCTGCTAACATCTCTCTCAGTGTTTTCTTCCTGGGTTCACCATTGGTAATGACCCCTGTTTGACTAGACGGTCTCCGCAATCCAGACTGTGTACCGGCTACATTTAACTTTACACCACCACTAGAGTCTTTATGATTGTTTAACTGTATTTTAGACACAGGTCTGGAGGTTGTAGCAACATATCGTACTTGCGTTGTGCTGCTCGATGATTTACCCTCTACAATTCACAATGACAATGAAGTTGACCTTGTTTTAATACATTTAAAGTATATCTTGTTTTAATAGATTTATAAATGCAAAGATAATTTCTTAATAGAGATTGAAATTACAAAGAATTATATTAAATGCTTTATAATAAAATGTAAATCACTAAATTATTGACCTATAAATGAAAAAAAAACCCAACAACATCTGCTGTTGGGAAAATGTAACAGTTCACATAAAAAAAAATATATGATTCATCTACCACCTTGTACTTTTAATATCAATTATAAACATTCTACAATTTGTTAATTGTATTCAGATCCATCTTCAGGACAAAATTAACCACCTGGAGTTTTTCTTCATTTATTAATAAAGCATATAAAGCAACAGATGTTTTGTTACAATTTTGTTAATCATGAACATATATTCTTGACATTAAGAATATAAAAGTTTTCATTGCAGTTAAAAACATTACAGCCAGTACAGTACATTGTGATTTTCCTAGCAGCAGATTAAATAATTTGCACAGCTAAAGGCTCAACTGAAACCTATGGGTACCAAACATAATTTTAAACAACAGAGAATATAACTGATCTAAATGGAATTATTGGATTCAATTTACAACCACTAACAAGATCACATCTGCAAACTGTTTTATGTTGCCAGTAAATAGAAAATTTCAAATAAGAACAGACATATTTCTCGCATCATACTTTTAATTTGTAGACAGTCATATGTAGTGAAAATAGGTCTCATCATTCAATATATACCACTAACCTTCATTTTTTGGTGGAACTATCGGTTTGATGGTTATTTTTGGGATAAATCCATGTTTTCTTTTCTTTCTCTGAGCCTGTCTGACACTTCTCCGCGTGGGTGTGTCAATCTTCGACACCTGTATACTGGGGGTAGGGACAGAGAGTACATTTGGTACCGGTATACCATTATGCTCCACACCAGTACCAATCTGTGGTATTGTCTTCACTGTGTCCGCTACTTTTGCATAAATCACTGGGGGAAAATTAATTCACCATGTTAAATCACACTACACAACTTTTTATTAATCATTGTATTCCTGAAATCTCAAATCCTCATTCAACATATCTATTAGAGGCAATAAAGAATACAATTTTTAGTTTTTTTTGTTTCAGGGTTGTTGCTTAATTCTTACAGTATTTCCATCACACTCCAGCATGTATTATTCACGTTTACACTAGAGATTTCTTATTTCATCATGTATCAAAAAAAAAAGAATGTCACAAGTAATGCATGTTTTGATAATTGGACAGCTGCTGGATAATTATTTTATCATTTGGTTATACATGATTTCTTAGTTTCTGTAATTCAGGTTCAGGTGCTACTTTTGTGGATTTAATTTGTAAATATGTCACACGAATTTGACCATGCTCTTCATTTTCTGTAGAATTTGTTACATAAGCATCCTGCTGTCTGACATGATTTATTGTTGGACTTATGTTTTTTAATCATTTTAAGCCAAGATCATTGAATTACTAAATATGCTAGTTTTTCAAAAGGTTACTGTATAAGTGTATTCTTGTATAAGTGTATTAATTTCTATCTATATAGTAAAGTGGAGAGTTACCTTTTTGTTTTGTATTATTTACAGTTCCATCGCCGACCATGACCGTATAACCTGACCCCCCTACATTCACAGTGGTGTCTTCCTCAACCTCTATAATCTCTGACCCAGTTGGCAAATCACTCTGTCAAATATAAACACAAAATGTTCTTTACTAATATTTTACTTCCAAAATGTCTTAAAAGTAGGATATGAACTAATGTGAAAATAACCATATCCTCCGGTTACCATGATTCAACATTAATGTCTTTTTTTACATTTTTCTTTTACACTGCATATCTATTTGTTGATGACAAATTTTTGATAAAATACATGAACTGTACTAAAATTGTGCTGTAAAAAAGAACCTATCATATGGTGTAATAGGCATCTTATGAGACTGATACAAAAAAGATCAAAGGTCAAATCTACATAAAGTGCCCCAAATATACTATTTGTACCTAACAAAAACATGAATCAAGTCTGTAGAAATGTTTGCTTTACTTTGCAAGTCATTTGGATAATTTCAGTACATACCATAAGACCATACATTCCTATATGACCTGCCACCTTGTAGAAAATATTTGCAGGACCTCTGGCATTGGCATGTAAACATGAATTCAAGCAAGCCACAGGCACAGCTTCACTGCAAAATAGAAGAAAAACATGTCAATACAGTAACTTATTCCAAATTTCTATGTATCATAAATACTACATCTCATTTTATATTATTAAATATTCATATATAATTATTTATTATAATCAACATTCTTATATCTCATTATGTATTATTAAATATTGATTATTGCTATCTTAAAATTTTGTAAACAAGTAAACAGTAAGATTTAATAAAGCAACAAAAAATTCGACAACCAAATTTTAGCTCAAAGCAAACGACAGGTCAATAACTAAATGGCACTCATGTTATATAAATGAACAGTAACACTATAATGCTTTAAAAAAACAAAAAATTTAAGATATTTAATAGATGATTTTGTGTACAAATCAAATTTTCATTAAATAATTAATCCTAAACTGATCACATCTAATAATACTTGTACAAATCAATAAAAGCATGTTGGTTTTTTTTCCTACAAAAAAATAGGATAACTCATTATGCCCCTTCCCTATGAGTTGTTAATTTAAATTGTATGTCAAAACTTTAATATCAATCACTTGTTCATGATATAAATATTTCAAGTGAATCATATCAGATTTTGTTAAAACAATTTCAACTACCCAAGTAAAACACAAGGTGCATGTGCATGTACACACTAAGCAGACCTGGTATGTACATGAACACAGTCAATGAAGCGTTAGATACATAGATATTGTGAGGTAAGTTTTTCTTCTATCACATTTCTAAGAGAAACCCTTCTTAGATGGCGAAATAATACAATGCCTATTATTAGTGTACAAGACAGACATTAAGCAGAAAAAGAGGCAATTTGATGTATGTGTAAAGTTACCTAGCATCTTTGAGGTTATATTGCTGGATTTCTTTCAATATTTCCTTGTAACTCATGGGAGTTTGAGGATGTTTCTCAAGGACCTGCAAATGAACAGTTATATTGATAAGTGAAACTTTCATTGCAATTTTAAATTTATGATTATTATTTATATTTCAGACAGTCTGCAAAATAACTTTTTTAGAACATAGGCCATTTGGGCCTTCAACCTAGGTGAACCAATAGGCCCGGACAGATTATCACAGGCGCAAAACATTTATCATGCAATATAAAGACAACAGTTTATTTTATCATGTTTTATTCACATAAACAACGTTCAATTTAGGCACAAAAGCACAGAAAATCAGTCTGCCACTTTTCAGTAACATTCTCATTTTCTGTTCTTTATATACTCAACATTACTCGTCAATCTACAGCATACCACTTTATTTGTTTAAAATAAATAAAACAGATATCAAGAAAGGAAGCGTTGCATTCAATGATGCATCCCCTTATTAATCACAACCACAACATTTAACTCCCAGTTTTGCTTCAGACATGTAATGTAGCATTGTAGGTGATTCATGTTTGTTGTTCGCAAATCTAAACCAGAGACTTTTATTACAGATAGCCCTGTGTCTTAAACAGGTCAATCTAAAAATAAAATGATGTATTCAAATGGAAATGTACGATAACTTGTTCTTTGACCAGCGAACATTTACTATTATACTCGAGCATTGTGTGTATATGTACGCTAACCAATCGCTGAGGACTTTAACTATAGATTATACATAATTGAATGATTTATTCAGGGTTTCCATTGACGCACATTTCCTGCGTCCTTGACGCTAAAATATAAACTAAGGACCCGCAATAACTTATTGCCTGCGTCCTCAGGGACGCAAATCCATAAATCCTGTTTTGAAAGATCTTTCCGTTTTTAAAAGGAAATTGCGTAAATTTGTAGAAGGGTTTTATATTGTATACAACAGAGTTATCTTTCTTTCAATAAAAAAACTGTTCAATGCGGAATAAAACTGCGCATGATTGAATTTAGAACTACATTCGAAATGTGTAGCAGTCTACCTTGTTGCTAGGCATTTTATAAAGATGTCGGCTGCTGCAAAAAAATCCCGAAGTTTTAATGAAAAAAGCTAGACAATATCTATAACTAATACCTATCTTTTAAAACTTATCATGATTGGGACCCTCTTAATTTTCCATGGGACCTCATATTTTTAGGAACATGAGTCCCTGGGACCCCTAGATAAAAAATCCTAGCAGAAACTCTGCGTATTAAGCAAATCTTACTTGATGTTAATAGACTGATGACGACGTATTACAAAGTAATTTTGGACAAACATTGAAACTAAGACTAATTTTGTACGAAAACACATTCTGCATTCAAACACCTGTCAGTGATATTTGGAATTTCTGCAGGCCCAAATGGGTTTTTACAAAAACGCCTCGGGCAAACGAATGTGTGCCCTTATTTGCAAAAACTTTAAATGTTCACTTTTATTCACCTAAGCCTGGTTAATGGCTAACGATTCGCCACACTAACGATTGCGCCACATAACGATTTTCGAACACAGAGTAATAACGATTCGCCACAGTTAAAATAACGATTCGCCACGTGTTCAAATATCAAACTTTTTATCACACCTGTTTTCAAATTGTTGATGGAAAACTTTTTTCCATTTTTATTTTATTTGTTAATTACATAAATTAATTACACTGAATAAAGCTTTTATTTGAATTAAAAACACACGACGGAAACCAAATATTTTATTAACAAAAATTACATAACACATTTTATAACTTCCGTTATTGATATAAACTGGAAAATATACTAACAACTTTTATAGAATAAAAACACATGAAAGAAATATTTTATTAACAAAAATTACATAACACATTTTATAACTTCGTTATTTATATAAAACTGGAAAAATATAATAACAAACATTTAATAGAAAATAAAAAACACCATGAAAATAAATATTTTATTACAAAAATTACATCCCACATTGTAGATGAGAAAAACTTCAGTTATTTATATAAACTGGAAAATTATACGAAAACAGCTTTTATTGAATAAAAGACACATAAATATTTTATTACCAAAAATTACATTACACATTGTAAATCTATAAGTTAAACTTCGTTATTTATATAAACTGGAAATTAAAAGAAAAACAGCTTTTAATTGAATAAATGAAAATAAATATATTTTTTTACCAAAATTACATTACTGTACACAATTTAGATAAGTTAATTTTATATAACTAAACATATTTTATTACAAAAATTTACATACATAAGCTTAATTGCCGCATTGTTTTTGAAAATCTGCTCACATTGTCAACATAATTAAAGATTTATTTCGGCGTCAATTAAAATTTTTAAACAATTAAGTGTGATTGGCTTGTTAAAAAAAAAAGGTGTTGACAAATGTTTTAGATATGCGTTCTTTAATCAATTATCGTAAATCAATTTTCGTAATGTTCACGTTGTTTTTGCAATATTTTTTTTTCTAATATTTGACATACATGTATATATATAATATATGAAATATATGTCTATTTCTATGAATGATAATGATATTGTGATGTTCTTTGTTCCCTTTATTTTGCAGCTGTCTGTTCTCCGTAGGAATGTCATTAGTTTTTAAACTTTTTATGTTTTTCTTACTTTTTTTTTCTTTGCTTTTTCATGTGACCATAGAATTATTATATTTGTAATTATTGCATGTTAACGAGATACTGTAAATGTATAAGTTACCGAAATAAACTATTTCTTTCTCTCTCTTTCTTATATTAATTGACATTTATGTTTATGATTAATTCAACATTATATAATTACTTTCTTGTAAATGTATCTCCTGTAATAATGTTACTTGATAAATTGAAAATCCGCGATGGGGGCTTTAAGTTCATGTTACTTGTATTAAGAAACATTATTAAATTATTGCCATTGTCAATTTTTTAAAACAAAAGGAAAAAGTTTGTTGATAACTAAAAAAATCATTGTCAGATCTATAGGCCTTATCATACTGTGGCGAATCGTTATTTAACTGTGGCGAATCGTTATTACTCTGTGTCGAATCGTTATATGGCGAATCGTTAGTGTGGCGAATCGTTACTAATTCCCTAGCCTATATCATTCCAGTAGCCTTGATTAGGAAAATAAAACTGCAACAATAATTCTATTTTGGTTTATATACAATTTGTTTTAGTTTGATAATTGATTTTTCTTATATTATCAGCGTTTCATAGCTTTCTCTCTGAAGTGACTTGTCTTGAGTCATGTCTACCAAACCAGCCTAAGAAGCTCAGCTTAACATCCTTGATGATGTTCTAAAACTACATTACAACTAGGACAGAAGGTATCTTTCGTTCCAGATTACCTTACAAGTGTGTAGCATATATGTGAATAGCACGATACAATGGGGTTCCACTATATAAATTATTCAATTTTTTTCACTGCCATCAAACAAAATAAATATTTCCATGTGTAAAATCAGAAGTACATATTAACTTCATGCCAATATGTCTTTACATAATCTTGAATTTTGGAGTGAAATACTAAGCAAAATCTGCTTTTGTTTTTGACACGATTCGCTGTGAATCAGAAAAGAGCTTTAAGATTTATTTATGATGATTTTAACAGTAACTATGATCAACTACTTGAGAAGTCTGGCCTTATTTCTTTGAAAGTTAGGAGATTAAGAGCAATTGCTTTAGAAACATACAAAATTCTAAATGATATGTCTCCTGTTTATTTAAATGATTTACTACATCTTAAACATTCGAAATATAATTTTAGACACACCAATATTGTTGAGGTACCTTTACCAAGAACTGACAGATATGGTAAGAAATCCTTCCGGTATGCCGCTGCCAAACTTTGGAATCAACTTCCAGATAATTTTAGACAAACTTCATCTTTTAACCATTTTAGAACATTGATAAATACTTGGCAAGGGGAGAACTGCTCCTGTACTTCATGTAATACCACATAACGCATGTACATCATCAAAAAGAAAAAAAACCAAAATGTTGGCAGCGACATGCTGGATGTTTCAATTTTTTAGTTACTTTTGCTTTGCATTTGTTTTATAACTGTGCTTGATATGAGCTGCTTTTGTGTGCTTTTAATGTGATAGATTTATTTCTATTTTAAGTGCTATGCTTTTGTGTGCTTTTATTGTAAATAGATTATTCCTATTTTCTATGTGCTATGTATCATCTTTATATACAGGTATAACTTGAATGTTTGTGTGTATGTTAATGTCAGGATTGATGTTCATTATGCATATTTTAACCTTGTCTTTCTATTGCTTAGTCCTAACATGTTTTATTTATTTATATATAATTTGCTCTTTTTATAAGTTGGTTTGTCAATGCATTTAATTGTGTGTATGCATGCCTGATGTTCCTCTGCTTAAATGTTTATGTGTCTTATATAAGCTGTGATGTGTGATCTTAACTTTTAGTATGTATATTAATGGTTTTTTATTATTAGATCTAATATGTATTACCTCTTACTTTTGTATGCTATTGATGAATGCTAGTACAGTGCTGTTTGTATACTCTAATTGTTAATGCAATGCTATTTGTCTAATTTTATCATAACCATTTTGTCATTTATCATATCTTAAACATGTGTTTTATATTATTGTAGTCGGTGTAAAAAGCTCATCAGAGCTTATGTTTATTGTTGATGTATCCGACTTATAAATAAAATTTACTTGACTTGACTTGAGAAAAAGATCAGAAATTTTGAAACTTGTGCAATCAGCTTACTATTTTCGCTGCGTCAACCCATGATGTATCAATTTTCTTTCGCGTAGGTTTCGCTTTTACATTTTCAGTGCTCATATTTCCACATTTAAATCGTTAAAGTGATCAGTAATCTATTAAGAATAGCAAAATAGTTTTGTTATTTCATCTCCTTTTTCTACGTTTTTCGCCATTTTGGAAATAAACGTCACGTGACGCGTCTGACGGAATTTTCCGTGAGTCTCCGTACATTTTATAAGCCAATCAAAAGCGCAATTTGGTCTTCGCATGCCTCCGTTTAACACTGCTAAGCATTTACCCGGACATTTCCGATTGATAGTCCGTCTATTTCCGTTTATTTCCGCGCTTGGTGACGAAACTGCGTCAAAATGGCGGACAAGGTGCTTTGTGATTGTTTATAAATTTAAAGATTGTGGTGCAAGAAATGGTAATTTAGAATTAATTTTGTGTATACGTTTTATTATGTTGTTCAATAGGGCTTTAGAATCGCTCTTATTTTGTGGTATAGTAAAATATCTGTTCTGTCCAAGTTGATTCTGTGTCCTTAAACTTTCCATCAATTCAGAGACAGAATGTTTTAAATGGATTGCTGGAATAAACCATACACAGACAACTATATATACAGTGAGACTGCTTATTTTGATAATAAAAGGAAACCAACAACACAGTCTGAAGCTCTTTTTTGACTAGTCTACATAAAACACATAAAACATTTTCTAAAGGTTTATAAAAATTATATTTAACCCATTCACACTTACAAGCAGCTTAATTACTACCTGCTTGCAGAGTGCTATAGTACACCACTATCCCTTATACAAGGGATGCAGAGCATCCTTATCAAATAACACGTTCAAGCATCATCGAGCACTGTCAGTTTTAGCAGCCATTTGTTAAAATTTTTATACATCTATTTATTTATTTTATTTTAGCAACAACATAGATCACAGTTACATAATAAGATATATATATAAATAAACATATATATAAAATAGCAGTTTATCCAAATTAAAATATCATTTCATATTAATAATAAATAAATCAAATTTAGTTAATGACTGAGATCAGATGAGGCATAGGATAAATGTATTTAAAAAAAGAAGCAAATGAATAAATTAATAAAATCACATTTCAGGTTAAGACTACAATAGTCAGAATTATAATTATCACAGAATATTGTTTAAAGTTACTGATAAACATGATATAAAAGAAGTAAAAGAATTTCAATAAAATTTCAATACAAGGGTTTTGTTAAATAGTGATCTATGGTTACAAGGATAGCCCATTAAGCTGGTGTGCTTATTTCCAATGGGGTCCTGTTAACCAAATAGATGGAAACAAGATAAAACCAGAGAGACATTCATTCCTCAAATAAAAATAGACAATGAGATAACCTTCAAATTATTCAATCACAGTAGTTTTGCATTATCACAGAAAGAAAGGCACAGGAAAAAATAAGATAACTAAAAACAATAAAGTTTGGCGAGACCTATGTCGCCACTTAATTAGTAATATAAAAAGTCACTTTGATGTTGCGCAGCCCATATTGAAGCAAGATGGCTTTTAACAGAATTTTTATATAAAGTTGGATTTGATATACATTTTACATCATCTGGCAAACTATTCCAATCTTTAATACCATTATAGAAAAATGTGCTATTACATGTCTTATTACAAAGAGGAATTGAAAAATTAAACTTATTTGATCTAGTGTTGTAGTTGTGTATATCAGACATCCGAACAAAATTTGTTTTCATATAACTTGGACACGTATTATAAAAAATCTTATGCATATGATTAAGTCTCAGTTGTTTAACTCTGTTTTCAATATTTAACATGTTAACATCTTTAAAATCAGAAGGAGTTAAACTAGTTCTTGGATGGTAATCTTTTATAAACCTTATGACTTTGTTTTGAGCTACTTGCAGTTTCTTTTTCAGACTTTTATTTAAACTTTCGTACCAGGACGAACAAGAATAGTCAAAATGACATTGGATTAAAGCAGAACAAAGCAATTTTCTACAGTTAAATGATAGACATTTACTGTTTCTGTACAAAAATTTAAGTTTAGTGTTTACTTTAGATATGACTGCATTAACAATTTCTTCTCCAGACAGAAGATTTTCAATTTTCAAGCCAAGATATTTGACTGTCTTAGTAGATTCAATAGTGTGACCATTACAAATAATATTAAAATTATTAATCTTTTTAAGTTTTTTCTTTGGACCAAAAATCATACATTCAGTTTTTCCTAAGTGGAGAGACAGTTTATTATCAACTAGCCAATCTGAACAAGATTCTAGAGCTTTACCTAATTTCTGTGAAATAAAATCAGGATCATGATGAGAAAAAAGTATAGTGCTGTCATCAGCATACAAAATAAGCTTACACTCAGAATCGATACTGGTGATCATATCATTTACATAGCATAAAAAGAGCAATGGACCTAAAATACTTCCCTGAGGAACACCACAATTTACTATTGATGGAGAAGAAGAAAACTCTCCAATATGTACTAATTGTTGCCTGTTATTAAGATAAGATCTAAACCAGTCTGTATTGGTAATTCCCATCAGATGAAGTTTTCCACAAAGAATATTATGATCAACAGTATCGAATGCCTTTTGCAAATCTATCATTATCATTCCAGTAAATAAGCCATTGGAATTATTCAGTCTGATATGATCTAACAAATGTATGAGACAAGTATCAGTTGAATGTGAACTTCTAAAACCAGATTGGTGTTCATACAATATATTATTTTTAACAAGAAATGATTCTAATTGATTATATACAGCTCTTTCTAAAATCTTAGAGATAATACTTAATATACTAACAGGCCTGTAATTGCCCACTTCAAGTGTACTATTTTTCTTATATAATGGTTTCACCCTGGCAAGTTTTAAATCATCAGGGACAAAATTTTCTCTGATGGACATGTTTATTATGAAAGCAACAGGTAATTTTAGAAAACTTGCTCCATCTTTTAAAAATCTTGCAGGTATTCCATCCAGACCTGTACTTTTACAAACATTTAAACTACAAAGTTCTTTAAAAACAAAATTTTCTGACACAGTTTTTAAAAAGAATGTTTCACTATGTGAGTTAGAATTGGAGTAAAACTGTTTAATAATAGTGGAATCAAGAGTAAATAAATTCTTGCCAGTCGGCAGTTTTTCTACAAGTTTGGCTGCTACAGTTGTAAAAAATTCATTAAAATGATTTGCAACAGAGACATGGCTCTAAGATGATCTTACGCTTTTAAAAACTGTTTTGTGACGTGGATATATGATATTAGCTACAATATTCCATGAAAAAAATTGGGGAATCTATTTGAAAAAATAAAAGTGTTACACGTCAAATCAGATGACTGATTAAGATCACATGGTCTGCACCTTGAATGTTTTACTCCTAAAATATGCAACATCTACCTAATTATTCAGCTTAAGACAGCTGAGTTTTAATCAGTTTTAATTTAATACATGTTTTGAATATACAGTTACTTTTTAATTCAATCTTCAGATATTAGATAAATATTAATATGCATTGATTTAATCACAGGGTTATATTTTGATGCTCTTTTAAAACAACCACACACTAGTCTAAAGACGAAGTATTAAAGTAGTCATAATGTATTTTTCTGAATGTTGAACTGTCCACTCTCGGTTTGGATTGGTGCCTTCTGGGTGCCCTGCTGTGGTGGCTTGGGTGTGTCGGGGGCTGCGCGTCCTGTGAATGTTGCCTTTGCCTTGTTAATCTTTATTATCGTCTTTTGAACATACCAAATTCATGAAAAGTATAAGTGAGAATATATGGGGAAAAAGTAGACTTACTCAAATAATACATGAGTATTCATGTGATTGCCTTTTGCAATGTTTGTGAGAATTGCAGAAGGTAGGGATGGTGAGAGAGCATATAAAGTTGCCCTTGCTGTCTGTTAATGCTGCTCTACTGTCTCACACTGTCCATCTATTCACTAACAAAACAGTAGAATGTCACACAGAGACATTTCTATTATTTTTTAAGATATTTTGTGTAAATTTAAATATATAAGATCTCAAATACTTTTATTATTCTGTGAACATTGTTATATTCAAAATATGATTTCTTTATTTCCAGGTTATACTTTAAAACTATGCACAATGGCATCCAAAGTTGTTAAAGTTGAACAAGTTCATGGCTTACATGGTGGTAGAAAGGACAAACATAACCCTTTTGATAGATCAAAAACAAACCAAACAGCTTCCACAGAACTTTTAGCTTATGGAACTGACTCATCAGTTCTGCCATTGAGTAGACAAGGTAAACCTTTGGAAAAGAAATTTTTGTATCATTTACTTAACATTTTCAGCATTATAAATATTGAATTTAAATGTTTACTCAATCTTAATTGCACTCTTTCAGAATGATCAAATTTATCTAAGATAAGTAAATTTTCCTACGTACATTAATTATTTCAATATATTTAGCAGTAGAATAAAAGGTTTTATTTTAATATTTTGTTGTGTTAATAGAATTGTTCAATGAAAATTGATACTTTTTTTAGCTTTCAACATTAAGTCTTTTAAAAATGTCAATGTCGAAATATCTGATTAACTATGATCACCGACATACATGTATAAGCAATCATGAATAGATTTGTTTTTTTGTTGTTTTTTTACTACCTTCTTTCTTTTTCATTAATTGTTGTAAATTAAAACAATTTAAGCTACTTTAGTTCATATCAAAGCTTTTTTTTGTAGATGAAGACTCATTTGAAGTTGAGGTTGGCGACGAAGCACAAGGTATACATTTTGAAACAAATATTTTCATGGTTGCATTCATTTTTTTGACTTCAAAAGTCATTTAAAGGTATATAATTCTAACAAAAAAAGGCTTTGAGGAGTGCAATTCGATTTTAAATGTGCTTTTGTAAAGTCAGTTTGAATGATATTAATTCATGGATAGAATAGAACCTTATGAATTTTCAAATAGAAAATAATTATTTTCTACTTTTTTACTGTTTTGGTATATATTATACAACAAGGATTTATACCTCTACATTGAAATTTGTTTACATCATCTGAATACAGTGAGTGATATTGTTTTACAACTCACAGTCATTCAATGTCATTTGTACATTATGGCTATGGTCATGTAAGATTTAAAAAAGACTTTTAAAGGTTTTCTATGGATGGAGAGGTAAATTATTTTACAGTTTCATTTTAATTTTAGATAAACTGTATCCATTGCCTGAAAATTGGCCAAAACTTCCACAGATATTTCGAAGACGTAGCTGTGAATTGACTACAACAACTGCACCATGTGTCAACAAAGCTGTGTCACATTTAGAACTTCTACAGAATGTTATAGAAGATTGGAGTCAAGAAAAGGAAGAAGAAATCAAAAGCAGACAGGCCACAGCTAGAAGTTAGTTTGATTTTAATCTTAATCTGATTTTTTAATGCCGCAGTTCAATTTTGTTGTTGCCATATGTTATCAAAATAAGGAAGACTGCTATGTTGTCCCCACATCATAGACAGTCTTAGTTATTCAATATGTACACATGATGTATGGAGCTTAATACATTACAGTCATTTAGTAGTATTTCTGATTTAAGAATAACTGTATTATATTTACAAACACTTGATATCATGTAACTGTTAAGCACATTTTCGATTTTAGGTTAAACATGTGTTACAAGAGTCATGTTAACATTAATATCTAGATTACTTTAAACAAGGTTAATATGTAAAATGAAGTATACTTTTTTACTTTTTTGCTTGGAAAAAAATAACTAGAAAAAAGGTAATGTGAGATCAAAATAAACTCTTCAATTATGAAATAAAATTGTCATGTGATTATTTATTTTCAGCATCAAGAAAGGATGTCCGGTTCACAGAGACTAGGGAAAGTTCTAGGGGTGGTCTTGTCAGCGCAAGCTCCAACAGTTCTTCTCAGCGCTCCCAGCCGTTGTCTATACAGGGTCTTGGATTTAAGGAGGAAACTAAAGGTAAGTTCTGCTACTTGGACCTAATTTTCCTACAATGAAAATAGCTATACAGTGAGACTGCTTAAATACATTAAATTTTATTCTGGTTTATTTACAAATAGCCGTTTATATAGGACCATATAACCTGTCAACGATCTTTATAACTAATAATAAATGGTTCATCCATAGAATGCTGTAAGAGCAAAACAGAGCATTAAAGTTATACAAAAATTGTCAGAGGCTGATGATTGATTTATATAAGATGTGAGGGGTACATATTTTAAGAGATTTCAATTTCAACATTTTTAGATGTCATAATTGAGTTATGCAAACTCCTTTTTTTTTAAACGACTTCCTTGAGAATAATATGTCATTTTAGTGTAACATTCTTTGACACCTTAATATATGGGTTTTTTTTGTTGTTGTTTTTTCAGTGATTTTAAATGGTATATTTACAGCAATACATTATAAGCATTGAATCTGAGCAGTAAAAATGTTCTCTTATATCATAAGATGTCACGTATTATATGCATGTCATTTTAGAGATTCCAGTAGACATGTCAGTCCCATACCTTGGTGCAGAGCAAGCAGTAGAGGAAGTTTTAACTTTGTTGGCACGTCTAGAGAATGACCGACAGGAGACAGAAAATGCCCTGACAAGGGAGAAGGAACGTGTGATCCGTCTTGGTGCTAAAATAGACTTTCATTGTCAACGTAGGATGAAAGAATTACCAGTTGTTGTTCAGAAAGGTAAACAAAAAAAAATCACAAATACTTAAGGTAACAAATATGATTCTTTACATTACTTTATTTGATTGAAGTAAAACTTGATTTTATAACTTTGCAGCAGTTATATAAATTGTAATAATATAAACATCACAATTATTCAATAAAAGTCAATGTTACAAACATGCAGTAAGGTCTTCCTCTAGCAGTAACGCCGAAAAGTCATTGTAGCATTTTAACAGCGGCACTCAAGATATAACCTATACAGTGTTATTTTGACTTAAAATTGGACAAAAACTAACAAACAGAACGGTGTTTTTATAGAGCATGAAGAATGTATAATGGATATAAATGAGTTACAATGGCATGTGGCATACAGCAGTAGGAATGAAGCCCGGATCCAAGATAGGGTCGATATAGCTGAAGTCTTGAACAAACGACTAAAAGAGGATATTGAATTTGTAAAGAAACATATGTAAGTATCAAACATTGAAATATGGATTTAAGACATTGAAAATTGAAAAAATTTATTACTGCCCTACGTTCTTTTCAGTACAATAAATGTTAAGGTTGAATAATATTTTTGCTGTATGTTTACTTTTAAATGCTTTATAAAAAAATCCCCAAGCCAATATAGACTTACTCCAGAATTAAGAATATTTTGGGTTTTCCTAGCTAATCAGGGGTACAAACAAACTTTTACAGTTACAGCTTCAAAAATATGCATGTGACAGATAGTGCACCATGAATCTATAACAGTAAAAGATTGTTTGTACGGGAGGATTAAGCTTGGAAAAAAACCCATTTGGATAAAAGATATTGAATCGTAAATCTCTTATGCAAATGACTATTTTGTTAAAGAGTAGGTGCATGTGTTCATGTACAAAACAACATGGTTTATATTATTTATCTTCATTCTAAATTGTATGCGTATAGACAGTTTTAATGCAATATCGAACATGAATATTACTTAACAGTAGTGACAATTAGAAAATACAGAAATGCTCTTGCCAAACTTCGGTTGTCCTCCCATGATTTAGAAATTGAAAAAGGTAGATACCAGAATATTTTAAGAGAACAAAGGATATGTAAATTATGTCACGAAGCAATTGGAAATGAATATCATTTTGTTTTAGTTTGTAAAAAATTGTCTTTGATTAGAGAAAAATACATTGACAAAAAATTCTTTAATAATCCTAATAATCAAAAATTTAATGTTCTAATGAGCTCTCGCTCTGATAATGTTATAACAAATTTAGCTATGTATGCATATTATGCATTCAAAGAGAGAAATGAGATATTAAGTAATACAGATACTGACAGTTAGAAATCATTAGGATATACTTACTATATTGTTGAGATCACATTCTTGGAATCATTTTGTATGTTATAACACAGATACTTAAATTTGAAATTATTATTATAAAATATTTGAGAATATGCTTATAATATCATGAATGTTACTTTTAGGTATTGTTTAGTTTGTTGTTTTCAATTTTGAATACGTTTGTACAGTGATGAGATATATGGATTTACTTTTCATTTCGGGCAATGTTGTACAAAGCTTAAGACTGATCAAAACACTATTGCCTTTTATGTTAAGGCTATAGTATGTTTTCCTTATTTTGCAATGAATAGCCATAAGTGAAGATCTTATGTTTTGTTTTTCGTTAAGATCGACACGCATTTTGGTAAATTATTCAACAATAGTTCTGTGTGTTTCAATATAAACATTATTAGGAATTACATCGATCTGTACTGACACCAGTCAAGAAATTATATCTAAATGTATATATTGTTGTAATGGGCCGGTGGCCAATATCAATAAATAAATTGTCATTGTCATTGTCATTTATCTTCATTGGTTCTGTTATTTATTATTCTTCAGACCACTTGTTGAGGAAAAGCTAGAACTAGAACTGGAGGCTATGACAAAAATACGAAATGCACAAAGAGATGTAAGATAATAAAATTCTGTATTAGTTTATACATGTGTTAATAAAATTAATTCATGATAATTATTATAATTATGCTGTTTAAATTATGATTGTGTGATAAGATTGGTAATCTTTTCATATTGGCACTTGAATGCATTGTGTTGTTTTTCTTTTCTTTAGACCTGTCCATTTATCCATTCAGTTAACAGATTTTCAAGCCCTGACATAATCTATTTTTTTAAAAACAGTGCAAACAGTTTGACTGTTTTTGTATTTCATTTTTTCCAAATTTCCTTCAGAATTTTTCAATCAGGCAGATCTGAACCTGTGCCAAAAAGGTTAAAAGAACCCCACACTACTTGATATATTTTATTCTAACTCAACTTAAATATCTAGCACTCTTGTCTTCTAACAGAAGCTCTTCTCTAAAAATTTACTAGACGCGGAAAACATTTGCTAATAAAAAAGCAAGAAAGTATTCAAAAACAGACAGATTTAATACCTTCTAAATCTGGAATAATTTTACATGATTTATATTTTTTATGTTGTACCTAAAACTTCAGTGGTCAATAATATATTTTTGCAATGAAAAAGATACTGAACTATATGTGCATTGTTTTTTTCACCCTTTTAGACAAACCAGGAACTGGACAATACAAAGAACAGACAAGAGAAAACTGAAGCCAAGAGTAATGAAGCTACAAACAAAGCAGAGAAGGAACGGGGACATATCAAGAAAGAGCTGGACTTTGTGAGAGAAGCCCTGTCAGCTATCAAGTGAGTTACTCATTTATAATAGTTCCCATACATAATGGACTTTTTCAGTGTTTGCATGTCTTTAAATGTGGCTGATTGGCTATGCAATTGCTACACTGGGATATAGTCAATGGTTGACCTAGTTTACACACAAGGACACATGGTTTTGTTTGTGATACTGTTTGTGAGTGGTTGACCTAGCAGTTAAAAGAAAAGGCAGTGCTTAATTTATCACTGCTTAAACAGGGCTTCCATTAAGTTCCAAACTTTGGAAGTCAGAGACTGCAAATTGTCTGACATTGGAAGTCATAATATATAGGTAAAGAAAAAAAAAATTTTGGAACTTACTACCAAACTCAAGGAGTAATGACTACCAAACTTCCACTTATGGAACAGTCCTGTTTAAAGCTTGAAAAGTTCATTGACATCCTGTCAAAACATACATAGTTAAGTAAAGTTTGAGAGCCTCAATGGTCAAATGGTTGTAGTTGATGACCTTGAATCAGTTGCCTTTCATCACTGTTGGTTAAAATTCCAAAAGGTAAATTCTTTCATGTAAGGAAGTGATCTAGATAACTAACGGAAGGTCGATGGTTCTGCTCAAGTGCGTGTTTATGCGTGAAATGCTGCACAAAGGCGTACTGTAAGTTTTCCTCCACAAGTTAACCTGGAAGGTCATCATATGACCTTGATAGTATTGTTATGAATAGAAAAATAACACCAATAAAGTTGATAAACTGTAGGATTTTGACAAATTAGTTCAATTTATGTGTACTGTAGAGTTACCGAAACAGAGACCTTTTGTAGCAGACTTTGCTTTGAAACTTTTCTATTTTCTTCAAATATGCCAGAATTAGAAAAAAGACTTCTCCATATTTTGAATCATCAGTGATGTTTTAACAAAAATAAATGTACCAAACTGTCATTTTACCTGCTTGGTGTGTTTTAGATAGGTCTGAAAACAATTGATACACATGTTTAAAACAAAATTTCACAAACAAACAAAATGGAAGGGGAAAGGGAGAAAACAATTGTCTGTAGGTTTAGTCAGAATATGAGTTTTAATTACAGTGAAGAATTGTCAGAAGCAAAGATGACATTCAATGCCTACAACCATCAGATTAATGATATTACACAACAATTAAAGGACAATGAACAAGAACTAAAAGTTCTGGAAGTCAAAACTGAGAATGCCAAAGTTGCTGTTGAAATGCAAGAGGCTAAGGTATGTTTTTGTTGTGTTTTTTTGTGTGTGTATTTTGTTTAATTCAGATGCTAGCAGGGATAATAGTTTAAGTTCCCTTTGCCATCCTTTAACATCTAAGACCAGCCTTAAAAATACATTTATTTCCCCTAACACAAAATTGCTTAATTGGTTAGGGTTGGATATTTTGGTAAAATATCTTTTTATCGAAATATTTTTGTTAAGTATTGAATAATTATATAATCTATCTCTTAATTTTATGATTAAAAAAAAAAAAACAAGAAAAAAAATCAAGAAACAAAGTTTCAAAGTTTTATTCAGTGTTCTTTGCTTATCAAAAAGAATTGAACAATTTTTGTTCTGCAATAATATAATTTTTTGTAGCAGTGGGCAGTTGGGTTAAGGGGGAAAAGCAATATTTTATTTTAGGGCCTAATGGACTGTTCCATTTCATAAGACAAGTCCAATACACATATGAATCAGATAAAGAGTTATTCTGTAAATATATTGGAGATTTTTGAACTTGTGTATCACAATTTAAGGATGTGTCGATCCATTTCTATCTAAAATAATAATCTTCCTCCTAATTTGAAACTGGCAATTGGTCATGTGACTATAGCTGGGTTAGTATGACTCTAGACAAAACATTATGTATTCGTATGTAAAGACTTTCTAAAACACACAAAAAAATCACTTGCGTATGTTCTAACCATTGCAGTTCTCTTTCCATTTCTAGGTTAAAGATGTTGGCAATAAAATTGAGGAATCCGAGTTTGAGCATGCTAGACTTGATTCTGAGAATGCTAAACTGGCATCAGATCTGAAAGTAAAGGTAAATATGTTGGGTGTATTGTCATCCTTGCTTGTATGTAGGTTTTACATTTGCTTGACGTAAAAATTTAAGAAAGTTATTGCATGATTATTTTATAAATGCCAATAGTGAGTATTAGATGTACTGTATAACTTGGTTAAGTTATGGACGCGGTAATATTGGCGAAATTTTGCAAAATGACGAAAATCGCTAAAATTTCCTTTAGCATAAATCTGAAATAAACCTGTCATTAAATTCTATCAGTACAATTTGCTAATATTTTTTCTCGTGAAATATCTGTAATTTTAAATTCACTAACTTTTTGACACACGGAAATATCCACTTATACAGTTTTTAAGACATTCATCAAAGACCATTTGTAATTTGTAATAAAATGCAGCGATAATTTCTTTGTGTTTTTTGTATAATTATTAATTTTATTAAATGTGATTTTTTATGTAATTATATTTTCCAAAAGTTTTATCTTTACTTAATTGTAATGTTAACTTAAATATGTTTATCAAATTTGAATATTTTTTAATTATGCATTTTGATTTTTACTTAATTGTAATTTTTACTTGATTTTAATGTTAAGTAAATTGTGATTTATAATATACTTAATTGTAATTTAAACATGATATTTTCTGTATTGTAATGTTTACTTAACTGTAATATTTATTTTAATTACAGAAACAGCACTATGGTGAGGTGATTGGTGAACTAGAGAATGCTGTTAAGAAGCGGGACAGTAGACTTCGTCAAGTTGGTTTAAAAAATCAAGAAGTTAAAATGGAAGTGCAGGATTATATGGACAAAAAAAATGAATGGTACTGCATTAAAACTTATGTATATTGTATTTTTTACCAACATTTTTGTAATGATTTTCAGTACATTTATATGCATATGACCTTTAACCTTAACATTAGTTTCTGTAATTTTCCACTGACCACATAGTATAATGTCAGTATTCTATTTTGGTTCATTCTAAACAATTGTTGTGTAATAATTATATGTAAAAATTTATTCATATTTGAATTCTGAGGTCAGAATGCCCAGTATGATTTTAAGAAATAATATATCTACAACAGTGATTTTCATCACTTAATAAAATTACAGTTCGAACTACGAATGCCAGGGATTGATTATATGTCACAAGGGCATATACAAAGTGATATAATGTTGGGCATCTGAACGACAAACAGTGATTTTATCAAGGGATTAATCACTGCTTGGGATATAATATTATTTTTTTTTATTCTAGCATGACAGCTGACAAATAAATGCTGCCATACCTGATATCAAGCTAAATTGGACCTGATTTGTTCCCATACTTATTTTGAGCCCGATGCTTTTTTAATGGTTACTGTACATCACATGTCTGAATCTAGACCATCAACAGTGATTTTATAGCATATTTATGCAAACTTTTGGTCCTTCTATGTTCAATAGGGAAAAATACAGGTCATGTTAGAATTGATTTTAAATATACTGAAAAATGTTATTTCAGTCAACGTATAAAAGACAGTGATGAGAAGAATATACGACGTATTCATAAAGAAATGGATAAGATAAAACAACAACTTGATATCACAATGGAAGAGTATAACCGTGTGGCAGTCATCAATACCACAATTAGAGATCAGCTGGTGGCCGAGCAAGACAAGACACACAGGATGGAAGAAAGTCTAAAGGTTTGTGGTTTGACAAATTGTTTTCTTTGTTTCCAATTTCTAGATGTTAAAGAAATAATATATTTCAAACAGTGATTTTATTGCTAAATAAAATCACTGTTTGGAGTTCAGATGCAAGGAATTATGATGATGCGCCTCAATTATGACCATGTAGAGTTACAAGGTCATATACAGAGTGATATAATGATGTGCATCCGAATGACAAAAGTGGTTTGATCAAGGGATAAAATCCTGTTGTTTATTTATGTAGCATTACAGAACAATGAGGTTGGTAATTTATTTTTGTGTACAGTTATTTTACTGATTTTAAAACAAAAATTAAAGGGACTCCCCTGATGTTGTTTAAGACATAACGGAACTGGAAATATTTATTTGAGATTTTTACACCATTTGATGAAGATCTACACTAATAACTTGTGTGCAAAATCTTTAGATCATTGGCTCAATCCATTTTTCCAGAATAAACATTTTTATTGCAAAAGCATTTAAACTTTCAACTCATATCAGTCTAAATATCTATTATCGAGTTTTTCTTATATTTTTTGTATAAAGTGCCTTCCTGATATATGTTAGATTTTCAAATTTTATTTGTTTGTGCATTTGGACCTCAGTGAAATTACATTCAGACTGTATATTGTAATTTTCAGGTGACAGCAGACACATTACGAAGGCAGGTGAAAGATGAAGTACACACCAAATCTGTTCTCTCCGCCAGGATAAGCTCGGATACAGAAGATTTGAAAAAATCTAGAGGTGATATCAGGGAGAAAAAGAACAAGGTACAGATGAGTGTTTCTTGAAATTTACACATGATTTTATCTATATGAGCGTTGGTACTTGACCTGTTATATTTTCATTCTCTAGAAAGTTCCTGTATAAATTTCATTTAATCTTAAAATTGGTTATTATAATAAGGTCTATTTCAAGCCGGGACAGTCTGATATTTTAATGTTGATGTGGTTGGGTTTTACGTCCCTTCAACACAGTATAGGTCATATGGTGACTTTCCAGCTTTACTGGTGGAGAAAGACCCTCAGGTGCCTTTTTGTGCAGTATTTCAGACACAAACTGTAATCTAGCTGAATAGCTTCCACAAATGAAAAAATCCAAAGTCTCTGTCAGGATTCGAACCCACAGCGGTGAGGGGCAAGTGGTTGAAGTCAACGACCTAAACCGCTCGGTCGCAAACACCCCCTGATTATTTGAAGCCACAGACTGCAAGCATCCAAAATCATTCCTCAGAAAAAGTCAGAAAAACATATTTATACATTGATTGATGGAGGAAATAATTGTAAAAAGTTTAACTATCTCCCAATAATGTTGATTTTATTGCCGGGAAGTAGACATAAGGAGGATCAAAACAGTGTATTGCTTTGATTTTCTTAATCTTTTATACTATGCTATGTTGTTTGTTTGCATATATTATCATTCTAAAGCTATATTTAGTTTGTAGACGATTAGAGAATATATGTGTTTATGTATTGCAAGGTTTAGAGGCTACATAGATCTCTGTATTTGGTATTTAGCCAGTTGATCTTTTTATTGGTATCGGTATTTAGCAGTTAATCTCTGAATTTGGTATTTAGCCTGTTCTAGGTATTAGGTAATGTAGCAAAAACAAGACAAAAAATATGGTGGAAAGTATATATATAGTTCATTTTTGTATATTATATTAAAATGGGTTTTCTTTATCTATTTATAGATCTTTCCTGATTTTAGTACTTACTATCTAAAGATATTTGAAACTATCGGAACAACAGTTCTTATTATATCTGTTCAGCTATACTTTAATTGGCACCCCTGCCCCCAACCAATCTTATTTAAAAGTAGATCAAGAATACCCATTTAATTGTTGTCATCACAATTTTTGAATGCATATGTTTAATACAAGCATTGGTAACTTGTTGATAAAAAAAAAAAGCATTTTAGAATGTAAAATATTTTTGTACAATGTATTTATAAATTTCACATCCTGTGGCAGTCATGATGTGGAGTTTTGGTAAATTTCTATTTAAAAATTCAAAATGATATATTTTGAAATTTCAAAGTTACAGTTTACCATTGCTTGTATTCTTAAAGTTTTGTAAAGAAAAAACACTGTGAATTAAGTTTTATGCTTACAAAATGAGGTCATATATTTTTTTTTAGCCATTTTTAATTGATTTTGTTTATATTTCCCAATTGTGATTCCACAATTGAGTGCTAGAAATAAGAAAAAATATTCCAAAATTAATGTGCATGTAAATAAAATTCAAAATTGAATTAATTATTCCAATTTGCTTCATAATGTTATCAAAATTTGCAGTGTTTTTTAGAGGATATATTTGATTAAACTAGAACAGTTACTGATTGATAAACATATTTCTTGGTACCAGTACTATGACTATCACTTTGGTAGAGACCTGTATGGTGGTGATATAAACTCGTCGGTAAACACAACACAGTGTCCTTACATATCACTTACACAAACATGCTTAGTAGCGCAGAATTATTGATTTAAATGTTGGATTTTTTTTTAATAGAATTTTTTTATAGAGTTGTCTCCCATTTCTGTGGGTAAAGATTTTTTTCGAGAAGTTTTGTTTCATTGCAATTAAAATAAGGGAAAATTGGATGGATCAGGCTCCTGTCTATTAATAAAATTGTGAAAGAGGGGAACTACGATTCCAGAAACAAAGCAAACAGAAAATATTACAAATATTGCTTTGTTTTAGAATTATGAGATTTTCATATTTGCCCTTAATCTGCTGAATTTTTTTAATGTGCATCATCCTAGCTTTTATTTATGGAACAATCCATTTATCAATGTTGGGGATATCAAGATACAAAAATTTAATTGATTAAGCCGACAGTACAGAGCCTGGTCAAATTATACAAATCCTGTCGGGGGGCAAGTCGTTGTTATTAAAATCCTTGAGCAAGAAACTTTACACTCTTTGCTCAGTACTGGTTGGTTCCAGGAACGGATTCGAAAGTGTGTCTATAAGCTTAAAGCTTCCTTCACAATCAAACTAAAATAAATTCTGTATAAACCAAATTAAACAGATATGCAGGCTTGTCTTGGCTCTAAACTGGCTTATTATCATTTATTTAGCAGATTGCCTTTCAGATTTGAGAGAAATTTAATTTAATTCAAGCTTTGTGTGTCAGAAGATGTGTATAAGGACACTGTGTTAATCTAGATGTTGTATGTTTAGAAAAACTGTGATAAAAATTAAATGTTGTTGAAAAATGTCATTTTCATTGTGTGTTCTATAGATTAGGTAAATTTGTCAGAGATTCTTTGTAGTTTTTTTGTTTTTTTTCGTTCTGGCCATAATAGGACAATATTAATTTTCTTTATGCATATTAAACATTTAATTTATTTACATGTAAATATTTTTCAATATTTACATGTAAATAAATATTGAAAAGAAAAGAATTAATAAAAATTGATTGGATATAGTTAACTCACTTTTCAGTCAAGAAAGTGATTGGTTAATTTGAAATATTATGATTGTTTCAAATCAGCCAATAAGATTCCAGTATTTTAGACTGGTCTCAATCAAATCTGTGATTAAGCATTTAAATTTTTTGATTATTTTTTACAATTCCTAATCTATCAGAACACAATTGAATGTCACTTTAAAAAATTTAGTAAGAATGTCACTAACAATTTATTGTAGTATTGTGCCTGGGATGTTGACATTGGCTGCATGAACCGTGAATGCTTTAATTACAAGGCACATTTGTGTTTTGTTTAGCTCCTTCTCATGTCATTTGAAAATAATGTTTTGTCCCAGCATGTCCATTATTCATACACATGATAAATCTAGTCTCACATATACATTGTAATTGCATGGTTAAAGCATCATTTTATTGTTTATAAGATTTGAAAAATCTATACAAAAAATCATTATTAAATTATTTTTGTTTTAGAGGTATTTTGAAATCATTGAATTATTGTAAATCAAAAAACTTTAATTTCTTTTTTTTCATATTTCATGTACATTTTCATTTCCTCAAATATATGAAACAATTTTTAAAGTTGTAAAAAAAACCTGTCAGAAAACAAATATACTTGTTGACTTTGTGAAATACGCTTTTGAAATCAGAAATCATTTGAGTTTTATACTCGATACACAACTATTTTCATTTTTCATATGTCGAACTATTATATGTTATTTTGGTTTTGGAGTGATATATGTGGATATATTACCTGTCAAGATTTTATATCACCCGAGCTGTCAGGCTCGGGTGATATTTTATCTTGCAGGTAATATATCCACATACATGTATATCACTCCAAAACCAAAATAATAATTTTATTACCCTTCCCCTGCCAAGTTAAGACGATTTTAAAACAAATCATTGCTTAGTAACTTCAAATGAAATGTCGAAATAAGATTCCCTTTAGGGTACCCCTTCACCACAACATGACGTCACATAATACATGACGTATTTTCTTTCGAACCTAACGAATGTAAACAAGAGAAAAGGAGTAGTCTGTTGAAAGCACTTTTTATACGCCCGTTTGAAAAACGGGACGTATTATGGGAACGCCCCTGGCGGGCGGGCGGCGTCCAATTTTGTCTGGAGCATATCTCCTACATGTATGGAGGGATTTTAATGAAACTTCATATAAATGTTCACCACTATGAGGAGCAGTGTCGCGCACATGAACCAGGTCTCTAGGTCAAAGGTCAAGGTCACACTTAGAGCTCATTGAAAAATGCTTGTCCGGAGCAAAACTTCCACATGTATAGAGGGATTTCAATATTACTTGGCACAAATGTTCACCATTGTGAGGCGGAGTGTCGCGTGCAAGATTCAGGTCCTTGCGGCCAAGGTCAAGGTCACACATAGAGGTCAAAGTTCAGATAAAAATATGAAGATGTGTATATGGACCATTTAGTCATCATTTATTGAGGGATTGTAACACAAATGGTCATTATCAAGACTATGGCTGTGATACATATAATTTAGGTCAATATATACAAGGTCAAGGTCACTAAAGATGATGAAATATCCAGATTTTGTAAATAGAATTTAATCAAAGGGAGACAACAAAGTTATTACTTTGTTCATAAATGACCGTTTAAAAAAAGATAAAAATATGAAGATGTGTATAGGGACGATTTAATCATCATTTATTGAGGGATTGTAACACAAATGGTCATTATAATGACTACGGCTGTGACACATGTACTTTAGGTCAATATATGCAAGGTCAAGGTCACTAAAGATGGTGAAATATCCAGATTTTGTCTGGAGCATATCTCCTACATGTATGGAAGAATTTTTATAATACTTTATGGAAATGTTCACCACCATGATATGTATTGCTCCATGCATGATCCAGGTCTCCAGGTCAAAGGTCAAGGTCACACTTAGAGCTCATTGAAAAACGCTTGTCCGGAGCAAAACTTCTACATTCATAGGGGGTTTTCAATATAACTTGGCACAAATGTTCACCATTGTGAGGCTGAGTGTCGCATGCAAAATTCAGATCCCTGCGACCAAAGTCAAGGTTACACATAGAGGTCAAAGTTCAGATACAAATTTGAAGATGGTTATAGGGACCATTTAGTCATCATTTATTGATGGATTGTAGCACAAATGGTAACTATCATGACTACAGGTGTTACACATTTAATTTAGGTTAATATTTGCAAGGTCAAGGTCACTGGAGATGATTAAATATCCAGATGTTGTCCGGAGCATATTTTCTACATGCATGGAGGAATTTAAATGTTACTTTTATAGAATTGTTCACCACCATGAGACGTAGTGCCCTGCACATAAACCAAGTCTCTAGGTCAAAGGTGAAGGTCACAATTAGAGCTCATAGAAAAACGCTTGTCTGGAGCAAAACTTCTACATGCATAGAGGGATTTCAATATAATTTGGCACAAATGTTCATCATTGTGAGGCTGAGTGCCGAGCATAAAATTCAGGTCCCTGCGACCAAGGTCAAGGTCACACATCCTGTGCATATCTTCCCTACTGATTTGTTTTAAGGTTCATTTAACAACACATTGCGAAGAATAAAAACTTGCTTGCTAGATTACACTTATCCATAATGCCCCCATCTCCATCTAAAGCTATCGTTAACGGGCGTATTTTGTGACTATGGCACCTTTGTTTGGAATTAATATCTTTTGGTATTAATATCAAGCTTCCACAAGGTCATATTTGTTTTCAATACTGTTGAGAATATGTATCATAATATTACTCTATTTTGGTAAATATTTATCATTTGACAGTTAAAAAGTGCTTGTAAATCGGAATTTACATCGCGTAAAATCAAACCGTACGTGCATCGCCACAGCGCATGTTGTTTACAATGTGGGGTACCCAACGGGGAAATTTAGTGTGTATATTACCCGTCTGGCTCGGTAATATCAATTTCTTTCGGGTGATCAATATCCAATCAAAAAGGTGGAATAAAATCTGGAAGGGTAATAAATACATATATATTATCAAATAAAACCTAAATAGTTTCTTGTGAATTAAAAGAAGAAAACTTCATTTTTTTATCTCAATATTTGGTGTTTGATATCGAAGGCATAAACTTGGGATGGGAGTCAGTGTCTACTAAATTGAGTAGTTGATTTGTTACTACAGATGGTAAAAGGGATTTAAGATTTAAAATACATGTATGTAGTAATTATCCTAACAAAATGTCTGAAGTCAGTGTTAATATAGTTAACCATTTTGTTTTTGGTGAGGAACAAAATACTTAAATTTGAATCAGTCTGAATGATGTAAATTTTACTTGTATATAATTTTGTGAATATAGTGTAAGTGGTTTTCCGTACATTTATCAAGACATTACAAAAATGGCATGATATCATTTTTCTCACTCAGGTATCACTTGACAAATTTGTAAATATGTTAATATTGCATTCATTTAGGAAACATTCAAGAATTAGTTGATTAGCCAATGTTTACTGTTTTGATGAAACACATATATTAGTTTATCAATGTCATATAAACTCTCAACATGACTATTCTCATTAATTGGCCAGCAATTTGTATTGCAGAATTCAAAGGTTAAATATTCAACTTTATTTGAGTATGACTTAAATTAGGCTTCTAAATTTATTTTATATGTTTTTTTTACTTAAGGCTGCTAAGGTAGCAGATGATGTTGTGACGGCAGTGAAGAATGTCAAAGAAAAGGTTGAGAAACTACGATCAGCCAAGGAAAACAAAACAAGGGTATGTATATGGCAGACCTTTGGTTTAGGTGTATAAAGTTTTAGAAACATTTCTATAAATATTTAACAATTCAACATAAATACTACAGACACAATTAAAGTTTTATTTTCTGTTGTAACAGTAAATTTAATCAGTTTTATCCTGATGAAGGTCATTGTTTGACCGTAACTGGTCAATATATAAAGTACGTATCAATAACCCTGCTCTGATGTTCTTGACAGGTTGGTCTTCTTTCCTTCCTTGTTTACATTGTCTTTTTAATAGCTTGGTTTAGAGTAACAATATTACATTATATATTATGTACAAGTTAATTAAGAAATACAAGAAAAACTTATGTGCCCCTCATTGTAGTTTTCTTGCTTAAATGTTTTTCATTTGAAAATTCTATATTACATGTATATCCAGAGATGGTTTTCTTGCTTAAATTTGTTTTTATTGGAAAATTCTATATTATATCCAGTAAAATGTAAAACTGTATAGGGTGAGGCATATGAACTGTTTGAGGTATACAGGGGTAACTTATGTCATGCATTTTGAAGTATGAACATTTCTATTTTAGCAAAAGCGAGATCTGTCAGCTCGTAGAGTAGAGACTATAAAACAGATGGAGGAATCAGAGAAAAGATTTGATGAGAGAATTAAACAGATACAACCTCATCATGCTCATTTAAAGGTAAATTTTATGCTCTTAATCCTTTGATTGCTTTTGGTAGCCTATCTTGCCAGCTATCGCCAGATGTTTCAAACCAGCTGTCACCAGAAATTTCTTGCCAGCTATTGTTAGATAACTATCTCAACAGCTATCATTAGAAGTTTCTTGCCAGCTATTGTCAGATGTATCTTTTCATCTGTCACCATAATCTCTTGCCAGATATTATCAGATATAAATCCTGGGAAATCTTAATAAGACATTTCAGTAAAAATTGTGCCTCACTCAGATTATATGTTGAAAGGGTCATTTATTTAGCTTATCTAAATGTGACATGTAAGAAACTTGACTATGTGTAGACATGGCCTTAGGATGTAACAATGCCACATTTCATGAAAAAAAAAACATGATACAAGACCGGTATCTATGATTCAATGTATACATGTATGTCTGCAGAGAAAATCACCAAATGCCCGATACAAATTTTTTTATGACATAACTTTATAAATTACTGTTAATTACTGTTAATTTGTAAACTGTAAATTTATGTTGTTTTTTTTTATGCCACCGCAGCATCTGCGATGCGGTGGCATATAGCGATTCACCTGTGTGTTTGTTTGTGTGTGTGTGTGTGTGTTATATAGATTATATAGTGAACTTAAAAAATCTTCTTGTGAAAAACCACTAGTCCAATTTCAACCAAACTTGGCAGGATTGTTCCTTGGGTGAAGGCCTTCCAAAGTTGTTCAAAGAATTTCATTCCATGCAGAATTCTGGTTGCCATGGCAACCAAAAGGAATTATAAGAATAAATTTAAAAAATCTTCTTGTAAAGACCCAAAAGGCCTAGAGCTTAGATATTTTGCATAAGGCATTGTCTGGTAGACCTCTACCAAGATTGTTCAAATTATATCCCTGGGGTCCAAATCGGCCCCGCCCCGGGGGTCATTGATTTTCATTGTATGTACATATAGTAAAAACTTAAAATACCTTCTTGTCTGAAGGTACCAGGCTTAGAGGTTTGATATTTGGTATGTGTTATTATCTATAGGTACTCTACCAAAGTTGTTCAAATTTTGCCTCTAGTGTCAAAATTAGCCCTGCCCCGGGGGTCATAGGTTTTCCTCATATGTATATAGTAAAAACTTAAAAAATCATCTTCTCTAAATTGACAAAGGCTAGAGGTTAGATATTTTGCGTGAAACATTGTGTAGTGAACCTCTAGCAAGATTGAATAAATTATAGCCCTGGGGTCAAAATTGGCCCCACCCCCGGGGGTCATTGATTTTCCCTATGTACATTTAGTAAAAAATTAAAAAATCTTATTGTCTGAAGGTACAAGGCTTAGAGCTTTGATATTTGGTATATGATATCATCTTTAGGTACTCTACCAAAGTTGTTCAAATTTTGCCTCTAGTGTCAAAACTAGCCCTGCCCCGGGGTCATAGGTTTTCCTTACATGTATATAGTAAAAACTTTAAAAAATCACCTTCTGGAATTGACAAAGGCTAGAGGTGAGACATTTTGCAGTAAACATTGTGTAGTGAACCTTTAGCAAGATTATTCAAATTAAAGCCCTTGGGTCAAAACAAAAAAAAATGTGTTCCTACATTACTATTTTAGTGTTGTATTTATGCGGTGGCATAGCATTTTTTACAAATGCAATCTTGTTCTTCATATTTTGCACTTAGATTGCTGACTTGAGGCTTTAAACTGTAAGCTGCTCAATCTATGTATTTTGAACTAAAACATAATTTTTTCATAGACTGATCAGAATTCTATGAATTATACTTATTTTTATAGGAGAATAAAGAATTTTCATATTGTTTTTCAGGAGGATCTGTTGAAAGTAAGTCGAAGATTAGACCATATGGAATGGAAAGCCGACATGATGAAAAACAAAATGGACGACATGGATAAATCACAAGGCATGATGGATAGACTTGTCGGAAATACCACAAAAGCCCTCGAAACATTGAAGTAAGGAATGAATTTTTTTTGCAACATTTTCTATTAAAGTTCATTTTTCTGAATTTTTCAGAATGTCTCTCCAAAGAATTAAGTTGCTATTCTAATGAACTGTTGGGATTGTGTCTGTTTTTGTGACAACAAAATGTTTTTGTTACAATGTACAACCCCCAGACTTTCACTGTTTCCAGATATTGCTTTGAAATTTGGAATACTGTAATTGTTTATGGCCATCACCTATACTTTTAATACCTGCAATACCTGCCTTTTGTTCCTTCTTTTTTTTTTGTCAAATTTTAAGTTTTCTTAGAAGATTTTATATGTATATTTATAGTGATCAAATAGAGGAGCTAGAGTTACAGATAGAAGCTGCTCAGAAAATTGAAGATGATCTGAAGGGACAGTTTTCAGACATTCAGCGTAAGTTTCACCCCTTATACAACACTACATGTACTTTCCATAATCAGTCATAGCTGATCTGACAGTTCTAAATTTTATAATGGCTTGTACCTGTTTTGAATTTTGAACTGTCCAATCTAAAGGTGTTTTGATATCAAAATGGTTGAATTAAACAGTATGGACTGAACAAATGCACATGCTAAGCCTGACTGTATATAATGGTTGTAAAGCCAGTCATTATGGCCATTAGGAATGAAACCTTACCATGCTTAATATATCTTTAACAGACTTATTCATCTTTTAGTCTGGACAGAACTGTTCATCATGTTTAAGGAAAATTTCAAAATATATACTGACTGAATGACAAACAGTGCAGACCTTGATCAGACGGCACAAATGTACTATCTTATCTTGGTTTGACTGGTGACACAATTAAAATATGTTGCTGCTAGCAGGTGAATGGTTCAGGGTTCAGTTCTTCATGATTCAGTTTGTCATTGCACTGACTCTTGGTTGATAAACTAATTTTGTCCATTTATTATAAAGAATACATGAATGGCATCAAATTTTATTTTTCAAAAGCTTTAACACTGTCATATTTTATGAAAAATTTATTGAGCCTTCATTAATTTTAAAACAAAATACATGTATATAGATTTCTGTATTACACTTCCATCAAGAGAAGGGATAAATTGGCAAACTGGCTGCTTAGAACACAGGGGGTTGTTTAGTAAAGGTAGAAATAAGAACAATTTGTGTCTGCTCAGAAAATTGACCAATCACAAGTCAATTTTAAAAGTAAAGATTTCTTATTAAATTCTTTTCTAAAGTTAAGTTTTTTTATTTTTGTTTTAGTTCAAAACATCTGAAACATATTTTCATCTTTTATTCTAATGTTTTGAAGGTTTGCTTTGCTATTTTCAGTTCGAGTGCGAAACAATGAGTCAAGTCACAGGAAATTTTTAGAGAGCAGAAAAGTAGTTCTTAGGGAATTAGAGGTAAGGTTTAATGATAGATTTATTTTATACTCACCCTTGTGCCAGCAATAGACTTGGTTGCTTTTTACATGCAGATGCACTGATGATATTAACATGAAAAACAAATTGTTGAAATCAATATTTCTTTTACATTCCAAAAAAAATTTTTTTTTCAATTCTAAATCATTATGTTATTTTTATGTTTGTGATTTTAGGAGGAAAAGAATAAAGCCATTAATGCAAATCAAGAACTTGCGTCACGTTACAGAACTTTACAGAATAATCATATGGAGGTGAAAGATAAATTGATGAATAATTTTGAGGATAGAGTCAAGATGGAAAATGCTATCAAGGATGTCAGAGAAGTAAGTTTTAACTGTTTATATAACTTGATCATCACTAAAATTGTGTAATGGAATTGCTCTCAGCTTTAAATTTGGAACCTACCATTGTTATTTTAGGTGGATTCAATATCGAAAAGCTTCTATTTAGCAAATAATGTTTAGGTTTGTCTGAAATTCTTGTCGCAAGCATTCTTCATGTAAAAATATCAAAAATATTGATAACTTTGTACTGATATTTTTAGTATGATTTACACAGATACCTGATCATTGAAATATTTAAGGAAAATTGGACATTTGAAATTTTAAATACAATAATAAAGACATCCATGTATATCCTCAAACGCAAAGCATTTTCCTCATTTTACAATTTCTATTTCAAGGTAGGTAAATGTAATGGCAAGATAATTCACCAAGTATGCGTGTTGTGTTTCATAAAGGTCAAAAATAAATCTTTGTTCCTTTTTCTTTAGAAATATGTTGTTGTACATGTATTAATATAGAACTTGAATTAAGTATTTAAAACTTCATGGTGTGTTTTTTTTTTCCAGCTACAAGCCTTACAGATTAGAATGCATGGTGCTATGATGGAGTATTACAAATATCGCGGTTTGTATAATTCTGCCGAACTTTCCCGCATGGAGGACTTGTCCATTAAGAACAGCGAGAAAGTTATTGAGTTACAGGACAGTATGGACAAAGCTTTAAGAAACATTTCAGACTTTTTACAAACTCAAATGACCGGAGAGGCGATCAAGAAAACGGCATGGGATAATGTTCAGAAACAACAAAAACGTGCGGCGGCCAAACAAGCGCGGAAAGATATTAAAATGAGGACATCAAGTACAATACAAGTTGCTTCATGAAAAAAATGATTGCAATAAAAAGATGATTTAGAAACAGTGTGTCATATGTATTGATTTACAGCTGCATTTGTTATTAGTAAAACAAAGTATTTAGTTAGAGTCAAATAATTGTTGTTTTTTGTTGTTAATATTTTTTGTTTTCATATCATATCATTTAAATGATTCTTTTGTTTAAGGCATGGAAAAATACACATGAGATTTGGTATGTGTACATTTTAGTACATGAGAAATAATTATTATTGATTTTGTTTGGAAATTTTATCAAGCACACGAGACACATTGATTTGTTTTGCCAAAATCATTAAAAATCATCAAGGAAGGACCACATTGTATCCTTGTTTCTTTTAAAACTCTTATATTTTATTATAATAAAATAAAACTATGGTGGCATATTTCTGCCACCAGATAACCATATAAATTATAACTAACTAGTTAATTAAGAGGTTAACTAGTTACGTAACAAATAAATTAATCTTACAGATGATAAAATCACTAACTGTTACCATGTTATAACAAACCCGTTTAACATGGTTTTAAATTTGTATTTTTATTGATTTTAAATTGAAAAAGCTGTGATAATAATGTATACCAACCTAGTGCTTTAAGTTTTGTCATTATACATGTAATTATATGATTTCTCGAACCTGTGATATTATTTTAAACATTCTAGTTTTATTACTTTACTACTTTTTAGTTTGTTCTTGCATTGTCTAAAATCTTTGACATCATATGTTTGTGAAACAAGCATTATTTTAAGACAGAATATTTTCAAAAAGTTGTTTTAGGTTGTGAATGGCTATTTATGTTTACTTTTTGTATGCCAAGCCAGGTTTTATGTAAATAATTAAGATGTGCTGATTAAAAGTTTTGGTAACAACATTTCAATGTGACAGTATTAATAAAGTATAATATTGTCTAAGAACTACATTGTAACAATTTATTCAATGTGACATTGTTCTAAGTGACATAATTCTGTGTGACATAATTACATGTTACATTATTAAATGTGACATGAATCAGTCAGATATTTTTCATATGTAACATAATTCTGGGCGGCATTATTTCATGTAACAAGGTTCATTTGACATTATTCAGTGTAACATGACAGAGTGTGACATTATTTCATGTAACATGATTCAGTTTGACAGTATTGTATGTAACATGAAATTGTGTGGCATTGCTGTATGAAACATAATTAAATGTGAAATCACTATTTATTGTAACATGACTTAATGTGAAATTGTTACATGTAACATAATGCAATGAGACATGATAGGTTGTATGATCCAGTGTTATAATTATATGTAACATGATTCCATAAACCAGTTTCTAATTTTTCATGTCACAGTTTATAAAGCATTTTGCACATTGAATTTTCACGGTAGGCATAATTATGTATAAAAGAAAAAAAGAGTTAAGATGGTAATAATTATGAACAAGTAGAAGTAAACCATTCTTTTTATCACTTTCTAAATATCACCCTCTTAAGTTGTTTTACTTCCTATCTCAAACTAAAGAATCCACAGTTTTTTTTTACTCCCTTTCTCAAATGATAGAATCCACTATTATGTTTGATTGATTATAAAACTGTACTTTTTTATTATTGACCTTGTCATCATCACTGAATCTTTTAAATTCTGAAGAAAAGAAATTTGAAATCATAAAAGTCATATAAAATTGCTGGATACAAAATCTACTTGCACTGGTACAAGGAAAGTCAAGGAAGGCAAAAATATTTTTTTCTTTTGATCCCGTTGCATGCTGGGTAAAATATTGTCGTCTGCCAAAAATTCATCGACTGCTTTTAAACATAAATAACAGCTAGGTGCCTGTGCGGACTATAATCCGTTGTGCCAGACAAGGTGCTGTGGTTTTCGACTGCTTGTTTGCTACCATGCTTGTTGCAAAAGCTATCATGATCGATTGCAGTAGACTATAAATGTCAAAAATAAAATGCTGAAACTTTTGATTGTGAAGTATTGAGTACAGCCAGTTGATATTTACAAAAGATGCAGTATTATATACATGTATATGCAAGTAAATGGACACTATATATATGTGATTGTAAAGATATGTTTTCCCTTTTGAAATACATGTACAATGTCAGTTTGTCTCATACCTGTGATATGTTCAATTAAAATCATAAAAATGCCTTATTTCTTTGTTACGTTATCTTCTTCATTTTACTTCCCTTGTTTTAAAATTGATACTGCTACATATTTCTTTATACTAATTGGGGGCGAATGAAGGAATAAGAGCAAGAACAACAAATAGATTTTAAACAATGCACATTCGAATTTCCTTCAATAACTTAACATTTACAGCAGGTGTAAAATGTTGATCACCTCAGAGTTGTCATATTTTATTGGTCCTTCAGGGGTCATTGATTCAAGCATATTTTCTGTTGACCAGCGAATACTACGTTAGCTGGTGCTAGGGGATATGCCAGGTGTTGCATCTTTTCCTGCAGTATTTCTTATGAACAGACTATGAAACAGTCTGCAGTTTTCATCTCACAGTAATAACCTCCCTTGGCAGATTGTACTATACTTATAAGGTGTGCTCACTGGGTAGGAGATTGCTTGATACTTTGCCCCTTTTACAGATTTTTATTATAAAGCAACGTGGATGTGGAAAACCAGCACGTATCTTTGAACATATAGATTTTCAAAACCAGTACGGGTTCATGACTTCTCTTTTTGAAAATGTAAATAAAATATTCAAGAAACCTAAAGCACTTATTCAACTTGAAATAACGTACAGTGTAACCTATGTAGATAAATTACCACTGTAGAACACATGATATCAATTTGTCTCAAAATAAGGTTCACAAATAATTCAACCTCTAGAGTATTCCCTCTCAGCAACAGTTGCAATCTTTGTCTCCAAACGGGTGCTGCTCTACAGCTGTTACACTGTATTTATAGGAATATATAATGTATAACGTATATATTATGTCAAATTCTGCAGCAAAATAGGCATTTATAAAACTGAAGGGGTATAATTGTGGTGATAGAAACAGTAATTTTGACCTTTTTCGCATAAAACATGGATAGCAATGGTAATACATTTCTAACATACTTTTAAAGGGGCTCTACTGAGGTTATTTGACATGACTGGGCTAGAAATAATTTTGCGGTATTAATGATTCATTTGGTGTACGTCTGGACCAAAATTTCGGATCATTCTCTCCGTTTTTCCAGAAAAATTAATTTAATTGTGAAAATTTGACCCAAGATTGTAAAGCGTTACAACGATTTTCATTTCAATCGAACAATAATAGCACAAACACACAGTTTTCAATTTGTTTCTTAGTACATTTGTATATTTCTTAATTATCTTTTGCACAAATCTTATTGTTGTAAGTGCTTCAGCTGATCTATAAAAGGGATTCAAATTTTAGGCTTTTGGCTTTGGACCTCAGCCAAGTTCCTTCGTTGTTGTTGGGTTTTTTGTTTTTTGTTTTTTTTTTCAATTTGTTTTTGCAGTTTAAGTATCGTGATAGCTTAGTCACACTGGTTATTATATTATATTAGCAGATATAAAAAAGGGCAATATGTAACAATACATATGCAGCTTTCCCCCGCAGTAAATAGGATCTGGTATGACTGATTACATTTTAAAATCATGAATTAAAGCTCGGACTCGTATTTGTCCACGAAAATCAAACAGTATTTGTAACCAAAAATCGCAAACATGTTTTTTTTTTTTAACTTTGTACACATTTATCCGTGAACTTGTATCTTTTTAAGTCAGCACTTATCGACAAAGCGCCTCGAAGCTATGAACAGATGTAATACATGTATGTAGATGTTAAATAAAGTGACATCGTGAGATAAATCTTATTTTGAGAGGAAAAGTAATTAATCACAAAAATAGAACATTACAAGTATATATGCAGTAATAAAGTTACTTAAAGTGACGATAATCGAAGCCTTGATCAACAACAGACATATATCGATACATTTTATACGTATCATGATTATAAAGCTTGTATCATTCAGAAAATCACGTGCAAATGACGTTAACAATTGTTTTGTAAAACGTCATGTACAGTGTCATTAATAATATGACGTAATGTGACGTAACGTTTGCTTAGAAACCGATTTCATGTCATTCATGGTCGTTGCTATATTATGAACTTTTATTGTAATTTCTTATTTAAAGGAATATAATCAATAAAAAAAAATTAAAAAAAAACCAGTTAGCAGTCGAATCGTGTTTCAACTCCTGGTTATGGAAAACTGCCCTCTCCAGTTTAAACCAGTAGTGCTGTACTTACCAGGGCATGGACGTTATGACAAGAAGCCGATAGGGTTTGAACCAAAACCCCTGTTTCAAAAGGTATCATATTTTGAATATAATAAGATAGTAACTAATGATAGATATGTGAACATGAAAAATTATGCGGCAGAAGTACTATAGAATATCAATTAAAATGAAATATAAAGTCCGCATGGCCGAGAATCGGTGCCTTGTAAAAAGACCTTAAGTATATGGAAAGTAATACTTTTGGAGAAAAAAAGCATATACAGTTAAAACCCTCAATTAAGACCATCATTGGGACTTGATCAAAGTGGTCTTAATTGCGGGGTGGTCTTAATTATGGATATTCTTATCATTGCTTACACACTTTATGGCCATGGTCTTTTTAATCATTTTGTATAAACAAACAATATGTATCTTAACCTGCAAATACAATATAAAAGTATGTTATATTTAATCTGATGGAAAGAAACATATATTTCTGAAGAAATATAATATCAAATTGTCTTTGGTCTGATTTCAATATTGGTTATTATATGACGTACATAATTCACCTATCAAATATGAAATTAATTCTTCGCTTAAAGCAACATTAATTAACCACTGTAAAAATTACTTTCTCAACTTAATATCCCAATAATAACAGTTTTTGACACCATGTGGAATCAAATGTCATGCCTAAGAGCATTCAAGCAGATATATAATAACAACATAACAACAACTTTAATATCTAAGTAGATGTTGACTTAAAAAAAATATCAGGGGTCTCAATAGTGGGATCAAATCAAGAACAAAACAAAAAATTGGGACTGAATTTGGTGGTCTTAAAAGTGGATAAGCTTAATTCTGGACCATGCAACCATAGACATAAAGAACAGAATATTTTGTTCTTTTAAAAATGGTCTTTATAGCGGGGTGGTCTTAAGTAGGGATTCTACTGTACTAATTAAATATATAAGTCTTAATTTAGCAGAAGTATTTTTTTATATACCAATCGAAGATAACGCAATCCTTAAATAGAAAAAAATGTACAAAACAGATAATATAAACATTTAATTTTCTACCATACCGTTATCATTTTGAAAATTCTATTAATCTGTTTTCTTCATGAAGCTTTGTCTGCCTATTTTATTCACTTTCAAGACACCTGAGTTGTGGAAGACTTACAGAAAATTATCGGCTGCCATGCCGACCGGGAAACCGACAGATTGCAATAAGGGTACGTGTCATAAAACTCTAATTAATTTATTCTCTTGAACTCGCTTATTTATTATTGCCAGTTTGGACATTTTCTGGCTTAAAACACGTGAAAAAGAATCTTACACGCGCTGCTATTTAGTATATATTTTTATATAGTCTTTCATGTAATCCGTTATCACGGAACTGTTTTTAAGTTCAACACAGGCTCAAAAAGTGTTATAAAATTATATCTTTATTTTAGTGTCATCCGTGTCCTGTATAAAATGCTGATCACAGTATAGGATAAATCCTTTATTTGCCAATCCATTAAATCTAAGACAAAATATCTACATACATGTAGTTCACAACTTTTCTAGAGTAAAACTTACATAATTTTTAATTTTACAAATTACTCAATAGATAAGAGCGATTAAATAGTTTAAAGGCCCATTAAGCCTCAGATTTTTTTTCACCTTATTTTGTTACAGTTTCCTTCTATAGTTACTCATTGGCCATAAAGATTAAGTATCTGTTGCCTTTTTCTCTTTGGCATTTTGTATAATTATAATAATTTAGTATTTTGTATAGAAGACAAAATACTACTTTGTTTACAATTTTCTACCTTAACGACCTATTACTACATGTTCAGTGCTATACTCTCTTCACTTGCTTTTCATCTAAAATTCTCTAAATTCAATACTTAAACATTATTGAACACATATTTGACCTTTCTAAGGAATTAAAAAAAAATTGATTTCTGAGGCACAACGTACGTGTCTTTATATAAAAAGCTTGCAACTTAAAATTATCATTTTTGGTCCGCTTCGAAGAAAACGTTTTGTTTTTTTTCTGAATTCTGTATGAAATCTCAAAGGTTTTGTAGGTTAATGTATATTCTGGGCCAATTTCTGACCAATCAAACACCTGCGATATAAGTTAGAGCTGAGAAAATTTATTTATAACCTGGTCGATCGGTACCATTCTACGGCTTACATCAATGTTCCATAGGTGAAATGCTTGGATGTACTTAATTTATATTATACTGTATTTTTTCCTACACAGCGCCAAATAAACTGTCATATCCCGAGAAGGGTGGTATGAAATGTATGTGTTACGAGAAACTCATGAAAATACTACAAGAGAAAGTGAACATTCCCCCTCCGCGCATCTATAGGGTGCAGAAAGAAAACATTCCTTCCAGGATTAAATCAGAAAGGTAAGCTGATTATCAGTTTTCAGTATTGTTGTTGGGTTCTTTGCTGTTTTGTTGTTTTAAGTGCATATTTTTGTTGTTTTAATAGTTGTAGATTCTATTATATCAGAAAGTGTGTTCAGGAATTATAAG